TCAATGTTAATAATGAAAACTAAGCATGACTTATACATATATGAACGTTATTCGATAAAAATGGAAGGAAACCAAGTGTTTCAATTCAATTTTCATTTCAATTTTCATATATTAACTAACTGATGTTTCTTTCCACAGAATGTTAAGAAAGAAGAGATCAAGGAAGAGCCAGCAGCCAACGGCTCGTCGCCAGTCAAGTCAGAGAACGGCAAGACTGGCAGTTCTGTCGTTAGCTGGCTATCTGACATACCACTCAAGACTGAAGCCGAAGAAGAGAAGTCTGAATCTAGCTCGTCCGACTCCGAGGAAGGAGGCAACTTCTCAACATTACGGGAACTACTCATCCGACCAGCGCCCGAAGGAGGCGAGACTCAGCCTAAGAAAAAGCAGAAGAAGAGTAAAAGCGATATTCTCGATGACGTCATCTCCAGCGTAGTAGACGAAAAGAAAGATGAAGATGAGGAATCGAAACCGTTCGCACTGTCCAACGTAGTGAAGCGGTACGACAGGAGTGGGCGAGGCCGCGAGGAGCTCCCCATCCGTATAATGACGCTCACTGAGTCCAAGCTGCTCTACCCAGACGTGCCTCACGCCTGGCTTTGTGATGGGAAACTTCTACATCTCACAGACCCCATGCACGCCGGCAATTATAAACCGTTCCAGGTAAATACTTACCCTATTTTTATTTATTAAAAATTTATCAGTCTCAATTTAAAAATAACGATTGACAAACTTATCTTTACTGCATTTTATTAACGTGTTCTGTCTGTTGTTGTTACAGGACCAGTGGAAACGTGGCCAACCAGTTCTAGTCTCCGACGTATCGACGATTCTCGATAAAGACTTATGGAGTCCTGAGAGTTTTTCTCGGGATTTCGGTGAAGAGAGAGTTGACTTGGTTAATTGTGCGTCCGGTTTAGTGGTACCGTATCAACTGGGCAAGAAATTCTGGGACGGGTTCGATCTCGCCGCTAAGAGGCTGCGAGACGAACGCGGCGCTCCAATGGTGCTCAAATTAAAAGACTGGCCACCGGGCGAAGACTTTGCGGAGCTTCTGCCCGGACGTTTCGACGATCTCATGCGAGCGTTACCACTCAGTGAATACACATCGCGCACTGGCAAACTCAATCTAGCCGCGCGGTTACCTGAATGTTTCGTACGACCAGACCTCGGGCCCAAGATGTACACCGCGTACGGCGGAGCGGGCGGCACCACCAACCTGCACCTCGACGTCAGCGACGCCGTCAACGTCATGGTGCACGCCAGCGCCCCCGCCGACGCGCCCGAGCGAGCGCGCGAGGCGGCGCGGGCCGCGGAGGAGGCCGGCGTCGACGTACTGTCGCGGCGCCGCGCGCGGCTCAAGCCCCCCGCGGCGCTGTGGCACATCTACGCCGCGAAGGACGCGGACAAGATCCGCGACTTCCTCGTGCGAGCCGAGCTGGAGCGAGGCGCGCGGCCGCGGCCGCAGCACGACCCGGTGCACGACCAGACCTGGTACCTGGACGCCGCGCTGCGCGAGCGCCTCTACCGCGAGTACGGAGTGGAGGGCTACGCGATCCTGCAGTGCCCCGGAGACGCTGTCTTCATTCCGGCCGGAGCGCCGCATCAAGTCAGGAACTTGCTGGACTGTATCAAAGTGGCCGAGGACTTCGTCTCACCCGAGAACGTCTCGCGGTGTTTCGAGCTCGCGCAGCAGTTCAGGCGGTTGTCTCGCCAGCACTCTAACAAAGAAGATAAGCTACAGATTAAGAATATCGTGTACCACGCGGTAAAGGATTCTCTGTGCTGCCTGGAGGAGGCGCTCGCCGAAGCCAAGTGAAGACGAGCGGGCCTCCCGCATTTGATCTCAACCTCGAACGTAACATTAATTGCTAAGTTCCGCATTTAACGTAAGATTGGGAGCGAGTATGATACGCGCTGTGCGCCGTTTCGTGTATAAGATGCCATTATTAAGCGTCCGAGTCGATTGTGTACCAGTTATGTGTGTAAGTGTACTCGAAATGTGATTTAGTCCGACGGTCGCGATCGGAGTATGTGCAATGTAAATTAGTCTGATTATGGTGATATCGTTGAGATGTGGATATGTTTTATGTTCCTTAATTGAAATACAAATAAAACTCTTCAGGTTATTTACAGCTTAATTGTAGCTATAGTGATATGTATGTATTGTGTAAATTTTAATTCGAATTCCATCGAGTACATATTAAGAATTGTATACTTTTAAGTTATTGTATTGAAGTAAAACAAACGTATTCGCTCGAAGCATTGTACATTACAACACGGCATGTAGATAAGTTTATCCTATTACTAGATTTCTCAATTTGGTTATGTTACAAAATGATAGTTAAACAAAGTATGTGACAATTTCTTTTTGTCCTTATTGCTGTATTAGGAAGTTTTTTTTTGTACTGTGTATATTATGTATGGTTATAAGTTGGAATAAAAAAAGATGTTTATATGAAAAAGTTGTTTTAATTATTTCGTACCTAAGGTCTACCTGTGCTACATCAGCCATAAATTGGCCATATTTTTTAGTAAAACAGGTTTAAACATAAAGTAATACTTCTATATTTATTTATTTATTTAACACTGCAAACCACTTCATGACTATCATCCCAACTGAATCTTATTCAATCTGCTAGAGTAGGTTTGCTGAAGTCCGTCTAAAGATGTCTATGGAAGTCATATCGATAGTAGTCGAACCCTGGTGAGTTACGTATCGAACGCAAACTCAAAATTCTCTCAAAAATATCTATGCGTAAAGAATAAATGGAAAACTAGGCTACTTTTACTTATCCAAACTATTGCATTCAGTTCGTACAAGACATGGATTAAACTATAACAGCGCCATCTAGATTAAGAAACAAAATTCAAACAGTTTTAACACTGGTTTTGCTACTCCCCGGTAGATGTCGCTAAACATAACGTACCTCCGGTGCTATACCGTCACTTATGTATTGCAGGGGCCCGCGCTCAACTGAACAATGAAACGTTGTTTTTCCAGTGCCGTCCAGATTAGCGCCAAAACCGTAACGACAGTAATGCCCTCACAATGTCAGTTTGCTTACTACACAAATGACAATAACGCACCAAGTAAAGGGGTGAATTTGGAGTATTCTTTCATAATCAGTTAAGTTTTGACAAAAATTGCATAAGTGACGATATTGCACCGTAGGTGCGATATCTTGTTTGTGTTTTATAAAATTAATTGCGATTCTTATCAGCACTTTTTATTTAATAATTATTATGTTTACACAATGTTATCTATCCCAATTATAAAGAAGTTGCACTTTTATGATAGTGTTTACAAGTAGAGAGTACCTAATATTATAAATACATATTTTTCCTTATAATAAGTTTCTGTTTAACAATAGGTAGATACTCAATAACTCAAGTTCACTGCCTTCATTTTATACAACAGGATAATGTTTAAAAACTAAAAACTAACAATTTCGTCGAATTATTTAAATTGCTGCGTAGCGGAAGAATGACTAAAGCCTACCGTCTGTAAGTAAAGTAGGAAGAATATCAGATTACAACAAATTAGGCTTATGATGAGACAATGAACACTAATATTTTGAAAAGACGACCACATTATGTAGGTATGTGCACAATTATTTGTGATAAATTTAATGTTACACAATCTTGATCAAAAGAATCCTACGATTCTTTAAGAGAGATACTAGATTCTACACGTTGGTAAATAAAACAATATCTAGGTATTAATACATGTCTGGTCTGATCGCAAAGAGACTGTAGGTAACGGTTCGTGCAATAAATCTTGCTGATGTTATCAAATGTACGTATCTCTATAAAATAACCGAGTCCCGCTACTGGTTTAATAATAATTCGTTCATTGTCACTGTATAATGTATAGTCCACAAACTTTGATTATAACGGTTTCAAAGATTATGTGTACCGTTTATCTGAACTTTCATGTTATTGGAATTTTTTAATGAAAAAGTAAGACAACAAGACTCCACAAACTTGTTCAGAACTAGAAGAAAATCCAGATAGCTTTCTATAATATGGTACTACGTTGGTAGATCATTTTAGCCGAGGCCTATTTATTTATTTAAACATACATAAAATCACACCTTTTATACCCGAAGGTGTAGGTAGAGGTGCACATTACGGCGCTGAATGCCATTGTACAATGTAACATTGTGTATGTGAACTTGTATGTTTGTAAACGCACCCAGGAAACAGGAGAAAATCCTAGTGTGAGGCAACGTTTTTTAAAATAAAAAAAAAAAGAACATTAACTTTTCACTATTTATGTTGCGAGTCCCATGTAATAGGGGGTGAGCCACAGATATAGATAGTACATCTATATCTGTGGGGTTAGCCTATTGCCATATACTAGGCACAATTTCAGCATCCGTGCTACTACTAGAATTTTTTACAAAAAACCCAGTAATACTTTGTCCGACCCGGGAATCAAACCCGAGATCCCTTGCAGTCGCACTCGGCCAACGAGGCAGTCTTAATTTATTTAAGTTTTATACAATTGCATAAGGAGGACTTAATGCTAACAGCATTCTCAACCAGACAACCTTTGGTTGGTGCAGAGATTAGTGTCTATTGTGGATAATCTACTCTACTCTTAAACACACTACATTATTGTGTGAGTGTAGATTGATGTGTTATAGATATGTAGTTAAGCTGAAAAAATAAATGTAGGTGCCTGATTGTGCATACAATTATTGAAACGAACATAACATATTACTTAGCCACTGTGGGTATAAGTACCTACAAAGTATCACAAACAAGTTTGAAGATAAAATCATATCATTCAATAAAAAATAACTGTCTCTGAACAATGAACTACTAGCTTTAAAATCACCACATCACTGTTTCGTAGATTAAGTCATAAAACGCTGTACATGGCAGGTTTTAACTAACGAGTGGGCAAAATTATCTAGAATATTGAGTAATGGACATGTAGTGTATGATTTGCATCAATCACGGTCGTTGGGGCGCCCCACTAAGTTGATATAAAGCGGATGGGCCGGCCCTCTCGCCAGCCAGTTATTCGCATCTTGTGGTCAAACGCAGAATCGTGTGAAATAACAATGAAGGCAGCTACTTTATTTGTTTTCGGTGAGTTTTGTTTACTTTTTCTACTGAAAATACTTATGTTTTTAAAACATCCAAAGGTTTTCAAAAGTGTTATAAAATAAGTACAGATTCAACAATCATACATCTCAGTTATAAACATTATTATTGTGTCGTTTATCATGCATATCATCGAGTTTATGTAGGATTTTTTTATACGAATAGGTATTATATATTTTTTAACTAAGTGTAACACCGGGAACTGGTTTTGTATTGTTTGAATATGTAAGTAGTGTTGTTATATTAGAGAGGTCTTCCAAGAATTGTGTGTGTAAATATTGTTGATGTAGAAGGCTGCATCTAATTAGGATCGAGGAAAAACCGGCATTAACTTAACAAGATATTATAAACTTAATACGACAGGTACATAAGGTTTATAATTGATTAAACGTCGATACCTAGGGTTTAAAGTCATCCCCTGAATTCAGGACTAGTAATAAGTATTCGTTGGCAGGGGTGTGCTTTGGGCAACGTTAAATATTTTTATTTTAAAAGTGCCGCTTAGAAGGTAATAGGTAAGAAAAGGTTTTCACTGGTCATATTTGCTGTAGGTATATTTGGATCAAACCTAAGCAAACCAAAGAAAAAAGTTGATTAAGTCATTGTTTTTTTTATATCAAGACGGTGGCAAAAAATCGCACGGCACACCTGATGGTAATAGTAAGTGGTGCCTATGAAGGCTTGCCACATAATGGGGCATTACATGGGCCTTGCCGACCCTTAAAAAACCTATTTACTTCTTTCTTGAAGAACCCTATCTTTAGGTTTCAAAAACAGGTATTTTTATAGCATAAGCCGGTAAAAAAGCAGACGGATGATGGTAAGCAATCGGCGCCGCCCATGGAATCCCAAAAACACCAAGGCGTTACAAGTGCTTTACCGGCCTTTTGGGAATTGGGAATTTGAGGATTATGGAGGATTCGGGGATTCGGGAGACTAGGGAGGGGGGTAACTGGGCCTTGGTATTATAAAAGTCAGGTATTTTATTTATTAAAACCACTCCTTTTTGTATTAAAATCACCACTCACAAGATCATCGACAGAAGTAGTACCTCGGTACAAACTGTTTACAAATTCACCCACTCTATTCCACCACGCTCCAAGTCCTAATTCAAGTCCTACGTCATACAAAAACTAGTACTTATTGGCGCAAAGTGGTCCCTCTTCCTGTCATTACCTAGATGACCATTTGACGACCTTAATGGCCTGGTTAAGGTCAGTTGCGTCTGCGCATGATCCTTTAACTTGATTACATGATGAGCTCTAAATACTTCCGTTTTATTAGGGAGTTGTAAAACGAGGCGTGTTATAGTGAAATTTGTAGGGTTATAATTTGCACTAGGCTCTGTAATATTGATGGTATGTAGTAAATAAATATCTGTTAAATAAATTCATTTAAGTCTATTAATTTCCTTAAGGAATAAACAGAATTGTGCTTGGGTATAAAACTTTCTCTTTCCTCAATTCCGGGGAATAAGAATCTTCCTCAGAAGATCGAGTGAAGAGATACTAGACGATCTAAGAAGAGGAACACATCATTAATTTAATAATCCTTTGAAGAGATGGTTACAGCCACGACTAAAATTCTTTACACGGTGACAATTTTGAAAATGAAAACCTCAACCAAAGAAGAGATTTAGCAGATCCAATGGCGGGTGGATTGTACTTCATACTCTGTAGTTGCACTTAATACGCATTCGTCCAACGAGGTCACAGAGGCAGGAAACAAGCAAAATTGTAATGAATCCTAATTCAAGTAATGACTCATCATCATGTAGGTCTCTGTTTTTCGAGAATGTTCATATTGTTCATGTGAACACAGTGTGTTTGCAATTATTTTTTGCCTAGTGTGATTTGGTATGTGGTAATGAAATTATGTATTCAGTATTACATCCTACTACGAAATGCTAATTAACAATAAGCTTGTGTTTGCTAACATTTTGCGTTTCAGAACCTCAATCTTTGGTTTTTTTTTTATATAATTTATTTTATTAAATGTGTTAATGGATTTTTGTATCTTGCCTAGAATATTTCATGATATTTGCTGTACATACCAATCCCAAAAAATCTTAAACGTTTTAAAGTTGTTTAAATAAATTATTGCGGAGTTTAAAACATTCATAAATTAATTATACTCATGGGTTGTAGGTGTAAAAATCTTTGTACCTAAGCATACATCGAGATAAAAATACATATTTTCAATTAAATTCCTAACTTCATTAAACCAAACATGTTATTTGGAACTTGGTAACATGACCATTATTTTCGTACAATACAAAACGAACGAACCTAACAATAACAAATCAATTTATCGACATTCGAATCACGCTCAACTTCAAAGTCAAAGTCAAAGCATTTACATATTTCAATTAAACCAAACACAGGCACTTATGAAACATCAAAAATAGAATTGTCCATTACTGAAGCTAAGTCTTATACAAGGTCCTGACTATCTGGCTATTATGTTCCAGCTCTGGTGATAGTGGCGGTGTCCTGTCGTCCAGACAAGCCTGACCTCAAGCAGGTCAAGGCTGAGGCAGCTCGCAAGAAGGCGTGTATGCACGACTGCAGCTCAGTCGCTCTGGACCCCATCTGCGCCGGCAAGACAGGCGAGAAACCCAAGTCCTTCGGCAATGAATGTGTCATGAACAATTACAATTGTGAACACCATGATAGTAAGTGGATTTAATGATAGTAATGGCATGATAGTAATAGCTTTTAATAAGAATAAAGTTGCTAAAAATGACACGGTGGCTGAGCAATTGGCTGCCGCGCAATGTGTCGCGGGTTCGATACCCCCACGGTACAACTCTTTGTGTGATCCACAGACTGTTGGTCCGGGTCTGGGTATCATGTGTATGTAAACTTGTATGTTGGTAAACGCACCCACGACACAGGAGAAAGTCCTAGTGTGGGGTAACGTTGTATGTAAAAAAAAAAAAAATAAATGGCTTAATTTTATTTACCCACAGTCGGTCAAAGTTAAGCATATTTTTTTTTTTTTTTTTTTTTTTTAAAAATTACCCCACACTAGGATTATCTCCTGTGTCGTGGGTGCGTTTACAAACATACAAGTTCACATACACAGACACCCAGACCCGAAACAACAATTTGTGGATCACACAAAGTGTTGTTCCGTGCGGGAATCGAACCCGCGACACGTTGCACGGCAGCCGGTTGCCCAGCCACCGCACCAACCGTGCAGTCGTATATACTTCAAAAAAGGTTTCGAAAGTCAAAGATACAACACTAAAAAATAAATTTTGACAAGGAGCAATTACCTATAATTAGTATGTTTAGGTACCAAAGTATAGAAGACTTTATTTGAAAAGGCGTGATGTTACATAAACGTACTTGTACCACATGTAAAAACAAAACAACATCAATACAAATTGTGCAACTTCGTGTTTATTGTGACAACTGCACAACATCTGCAACTCTGTAACATAAACATTGCACAATAAAGAGAAACCTCGCTCACCCTTTTTTGGGTGACAACATAAATAATGTTAATGTAAACTGTTTATGTATTTGTTTCCAATAAATTATATGAGCATAAGGCATAAGATGACATAAAAGTAATACTTAATGACCTGTAAGTAAAGTCGATGGCTGACATTTAGCAAAACGATAATAATATGATATCTTGTAATAGAGAAAACTTCATTGTACTGACAATGCCAATCCACCTTCAAAAATGGTGATTTTTTTAATACCACGACGGTGGCAAAATAGCCATGGCCTATGTACGCCTGAAACACTTGGGGCATTACATGCGTCTTGCCGACCCTTCAGAAACCTATTCACTACCATTTTGAAGAACCCCATGTTGTAGCCCACTGGTAAAACCACGGCATGGTGTTCATTCCACAATTAATGCTCGTACCCTCTCTGTGTGAGAAGAGGCCTTTGATCAGCAGTGGGCAGTACCTATAGGCTGTTGATATATGATGTACTCACTGGCATACTACATTATATCTATATATAATAAAATCGTAGGAAACTCAAAACTGTACATTGAATATTTTTTAAGAATTTTTGTCTGTTTGTCTGTATGTATGTCCGGGTTGAATTCAAAAAGTACGGTATGGATTTACTTCAAATTTTGCATGAATATTACTAACAGGTCGGTTTAACATATAGGATATATATAATCACGCTATCATCTACGGGTGAGGAGCTGTCAATCACTATTCCTCGCGGACGAAGTCGCGGGCACAGCTACTAATAAATAAGTCGAATTCTGTAGTCGAATGTCATAGTCCCTTTAACTCTCTTTAATATTCAGTAAAAAAGTTCATTGTGTGGGGCCGATAACAAATTACATTATCGATTTTGCGTCGTAATCGAAATGTTTCCACATTCAGAGCTTATTCAATGGAAAAGTACAATGACAGAGACGTGGCTACATTCATTATAACAAAGGCGTGTCGGTGGAGCGTGATTTTGCAAAACTGTTTTGTAATATAGGTAAATACCCCATAACTATTGGTACTGTCGCTGACACAATTTAGTTTTTACAAAGATCGTATGACAACTTTCGTATGACAAGGATTTTCAGGATTTTTTTTGTCATAAAAACCTTCTCCTGACAATAACAAACACAATAAAAATAATTAGCCAAATCGGTCTAGCCGTTCTCAAGTTATGGCGTGACAACGGGAAACGGGTTTCATTTTTATATAATACCTTTATAGATTTGACTTATGTTGATATACTCAAACGCAATTTTTTAAGTCACGCTTGAGTATAGTTCTGTCTCTACAAATTCTTTGGAAAATGACAGAGATGGCGATATTTAAGTACAATTTAAAATTGAGTAGCCTTTCAGTATTTGGGAGTTAGAATTTTGTAAGTTTTACTTTCGTCATTTGAAACATTTGAGTTCGCGGTGCATTTTATAAAACGAATTGTTGTCTACGAATGGATAATTATAATTTATTTACACTCAAAGTCAATTAAAGAATGTAAACGTTAATTCTATAAATATCTTATAATATCTGTTGTTTCATTGAAATTACAAATGTCTTTATTGAGGATTGAAGCGGTTGCCACTATGGCAAAGAGCCAAGCCAGAGAAGGACCGCTAAATTCTAAATTTCTCAAACGTTGAAATAAAAACTATACAAACCCCTTTGTGTTGTACATTTTATACAATGTACATATGTTGTGCATCTGTGGTATAGTCTATGGTCATAGTATAATCTTTGGTGATAGTTTATCTATGTGCGTGGCTGAGCCCGCGGAATTATAAAAAAACTGAAGACGTAATAAAAGAGTGCGTCAATAACCTTCACTCGTTTTACTTGTATTTCGTCCCCGTATAACATATTTAACAGTTTACAACAGAGTCCTTTATAAATCTGTGGCCAACAGAGTGTGACGCGTCATGTAGCCGTGGTAATGGCAACCATTGTGCCCGACCGGATTGTGACTCACAATATTTTATTATAACACAACATAATATCACGCCTTTTATCCCCGAAGGGGTAGGCAGAGGTGTACATTACGGCACTTAATGCCACTGTACAAGTACAATGTAACACCCACTATTTATGTTAAGAGTCCCTTGTAATAAGGGGTGAGCTTATTGCCATATAGATACCGGGAAATCAATGAGGTTTTACAGGTACTTTGAAGAGAAAAACCTAATAATGATCAAATGTCTAAAGGCGTATTTGACTGAGAATCTATTGAAATTCCTTTTATGATTTGTGGCGTGCCCTCCACATATCATAATCATGATTTAGTTATTAGATTATCGTAGCAAAAGTAACCAGACAAGGTGTATATTTTTACATAATTTTTGATAATGGTTAGAACATTCATTAGAACATACGATGGTATTTTCGAACCGATAAGACCTTTAAACTTTCAAGAAAAGAGCGTATTCCTTTTTAAACTGCAGGCAACGCATCTCCTCTGGTGTTGTGATCATGGGCGGCGCTGATCGCTTACCATCAGGTGATCCTGCTGCTCGTTTGCGTTCTATTCCATAAAAAAAAACATTACTTGTGCGTTTCCTAAGTCAACTATTTTGTAAATACTATGCACATTATTCTTAACATTTGAGTAAATATTAAGTGTAAATGTGCTAAAAACTGCACCTATGGAGATTTTTATGACGTGGTTCTTAGCACACCGTCTTTGTTCATACATACTAGGAAATAGCATGGGGCAATGAACTTATTGAACAAGTTTTGACACGGCAAACATGTTAGCTAGATGTCTATATTATTATCTATGTTCTACGATTATTATGTTCCATTTTTATAGCTCCTTCTTGTCTAGAAAAGTTTTTAAGAACGAATAAAAACGACATGTTTTATTAAGTTTTCGGTAGGTTATACATACTTAAATGGTTAATTGTACATTCAAACAATGTTTAGGAAATAATTATTAGTTTTTTTTTATTATTGTTCACTTATTCAGTACCTACTTATAGCAGTAACCGACATACATAAACTCATACGTTTGTATCAATGGGATATGCACAAACTGTTGCGACAAGCCATTAAAATTGTGTCGCGGAGAAGGAGGTTACCGGGGCTCCGGCTCGAAGGGCAGGAGTAGCAACGGGGTGGGTTTTAGTCAGTAAGAGTCTGACACTCCCTCCCACCTCACCCAGGCGGGAGCAGTCATTAGATGATTTACCCCCTTAAAAAAAGCCATTATAATTGTATCTACTGCCTGCCTTCAGAAATAAAAACACGCAGTTTTGTAACACTACTTTATTTATTTTCCAGCTCTCCACAAGATCAGCAAGGGCCAGTGTGCTGGCTCCGACGGTATCCGCCTTTCTTAAACCAGAGACAATGCTAACGAGGATGGCAACCGCTTTCCATGACTGCATTTTCTATAAAAAAATTGTTTGTAATTGTCTTTGCTTACCGATTAACATCAAAGAAGCTGTGATTAAAATAAGCGTTTAGCTGTGTACTCTCAGATATAATGTGTGTTTTACTTTTGTAATTGCCGTATTTAATACGATTAATATTATTAAAACTTTCTAATTTTAATTAACTATCCTTGTTTTATTTGTAAGTGAAACCTCTGCCACTGAATTAGGCTATAGTTAAACGAGTACCTACGCAAGTAGTGACTTATAAATCAGTCATAATTGTGAATCAAACAGTCAACGACACGACGTATTCAAGTATACTAACGACACCGAGAATTCTAAAATATAAAACCTATTTAACATAATTTATTCAACAATTGTAGTAACCATGCAATGGACCACCGATTAGATATTAAAAAAATCATAGCAGGGAGACCGGAGTGCTTACTTTTGAATCCAATTCCGATCGATCGACATTGTTATTGTGAAATATCGTACTCTTGAGTTTCAATACTAGCACCCATTGCATCCGTATTACGCCGTATTACGTGGATTCGCTGTATTCGGTACTCTGAATGCCAATTTAACAGCTACAATAAGGGTTGTACAGTTTTGACATTGAACAATTATTGAGTCTTTATTGGATTGAAATTATTAACATTGAGATTGGTTTAAACTGTCAAACACCAAGCGGTCACCGGTGACCGCAACCTATTGTTCTATAATTGTGTCTACAAAACCGGTACTCGACGAGTTAAAGAGTACCTAAGCACGCTGGTGCTAATTCCAGAATCGTGAAAATGAGAGAGAACAATGGAGTTTCTTATTCATTCTTCTCCATTCGAAACTACACATTGGTACGAACGCCTAGCTTCACTGACAGACAGACGGACGAACAATTCCATTTTTGATGTTTCAAAATTGCCTAATTATGGATTATTTGAAATAAAATAATAATAGTAGACTACTAAAAACATTAACTGCCTCGTTAGTCGAGTGGTCGCAAGTGCAACTTAAGGGGTCTCGGGTTTGATTCCCAGGTCAGGCAAAGTATTTGTTTGTTTTTAAAAAATGCTCAATAGTAACAAGAAGTTTGGAATTGTGCCTGGTAAATGGCAATAGGCTCACCCTCTATTACATGGTACTCATAACATATATAATGAAAAATTGGTGATTATTGTACTCACTGCACCCCTGTCTGCCTAGCCATTCGGCGATAGAAGGCGTGATGTTATGTTATGTATAAAAATACCACTACAATTTAAAAAACGATTTTCAGTAATGAGGAGTACTTTAAAAACTGTGTCCCATTTCATTCTCAGTTCCTTTTCACGTGGAACGCCTTTGAGTTAGGAAAGTGCTTGCTTCAGCTTAACGCTAGCTCCTTTATGTCTCACCTATATAGACACAGCTTTTTAAAAACACAGCACCCTGAATTTTCTTTTCTTCAGTTTTTTAATTGGTTAGCAAGTTGTAAGCCCCTGTTAAAAATGTGTTCTATTTCACAGTTGAGGCAGGAAGTGTTTTATTGCTTTATAGATTTTGGAGTTTCAATAAATAACAATATTAAAAGTGTGTATTTCACAATTTTGTGACTTTGAGCTGTTTTTCTAAGACTGAATGAAAGACCATGTATCAGTTCCATATGTTGGTCTTTAGTCTTTAATCAACTCGTCTCCTAATACTGCAGAGCGAGCTCGCTTATTGGCTGTGGGAGAATGGGAATCAGGATTGTGGCTTCAGGCACTCCCGTCACCCTTCATAGGTACTATGTTGGATGACATAACGTTCCGCCTAGCTGTATGCCTACGTTTAGGTGCTCCTTGTGTTTCTCCGCATTATTGTCACTGTGGAGAAAGAGTCGATGGCTTGGGACACCATGGTCTTTCTTGTTGCAGAAGTGCAGGCCGCATAGCTCGCCATGCCAGCATCAACGACATCATTCGTCGTGCTCTTGCCTCAGCCGGTGTACCAGCCGTATTAGAACCTAATGGTTTGGTACGTGATGACGGCAAAAGACCAGATGGTATGTCGTTGCTGCCTTGGAAGATGGGTAGGCCTTTGGTGTGGGACGCGACTTGTGTAGACACCCTTGCGCCATCACATCTTTTAAGCACCGCTGCATGCGTTGGTGCGGCTGCTTCCGCGGCAGAGGCCCTCAAACGGCGTAAATATTCAAATCTAGTGGGTAACTACTGTTTTGAGCCGTTTGGGGTCGAAACACTTGGGCCATGGGGTCCCAGTGCACACTCTGTGTTTAAAGACATCGCCCGTAGGCTAATCGACTCTACACGTGACCAGAGGGCTGGCTTTTTCTTCGGACAGAAAATAAGCATTGCCATTCAACGTGGCAATGCTGCCAGTCTTCTGGGAACTTTCCCCTGTGATAGTGATGCGGACGAATACTTTGACGCCTAAATTAAGGGTATAATTTTTGTTGTTTTCTTTTACTTTCTTTTTTATTTAATAGTTTAGTTGTAGTTAATTTTAAGTTGTAAATATTTATGTAGTTATATAAATTATGATATTTAAATAAACAGAAATATGTTGGTATAAAGGTTGTAGAAAACTGCTGGGTGTAAGTCGCCTTCAATCAACTGACTTAGAATACCAACTCAAGCAGAGGGTTAAATAAAGAAAACACAAATGGACGACATATGACTGATTGCAATTGTTAGTACTAGGACCGTGTGAGAGCCTCGCCATTTCTTTTCTATTTACCTATTCTGACACTGAGTATTTGTGCGACCCACGTAAATGTTCTTTAGGTTGGTATTGTTCGTCGAATCAGTCAGCCTCACCTGTTAATTGAGCTGACTGTAAACCGACACATGCGTACTACCTTCAGAACGGATCCGCTCAAACTGTTGTGGTTCTTTCCTCAAAAGGCAGTACTACAGAAAGAACTTAGGTACACGGTTCTCACACATAATCTTTATACCTACATACATAGTTGTCTGGACTTTAAAAGAGACGGACCTCTGAGTTTGTTCGACATTTCTTCTCAGAGTAGTCAGTTGGGAAATGACTCATGAGCCTCATCGTTCGCTTGATAAAATTGACGTGTAAAAGTGCTGCCTTGTAGCCTATTTACACAAATAAATTCACTTGTTTCACTTGCTACTGTGTTATGAAGGTGATATTCCAGACAGTATTATGCTAATATCAAGTATGACAGCTCGTGTTTGATAGTGGATCTCACTGAAAATCAGTGCTGGGTGACTTGTATGCCTAGCTTACACGGAGTGGGTGACTCATTTAGCATAGGCATGTTGTCAGCGTCTCTCTTCTAATTCTTCTGTTTTAATTTTTCAACTCAATGTTTTTTTTACTTCCACTGTCACACCTTTATTGTCTTTTTTATATTTTATTGATGCTGCATCGTGCCTGGTGCTTAATAAATGTTTTTTCTTTCTTTCTGAATAGTTTTTACAATCCTACCAATGTAATTACTCCACAAAAATACAAATCTATTGCAACTATCAACGCGGTCACATGACACTACGCACCAAAGATGTAAACAAATGATATCAGCTAGATAGCGCACTATGTTTGTTATCCCGGATTATCGATCGGGTATTTATTCCACTTCTGACATTACCTAGATCTGGGGTCACGAGGGCGGGCGTGGCCTACATGTCGTGACATAGACTGCTTGTCGCCTATAGACGTTTGTGGAACGAATCAGTCACGTTTTTATGGTAAAGTTCTGTTATTTGATATTTTGAAAACGTGATAACCTTTTAATCCCCACAAGGTTTAGGTATTATTACACATTCTAATTTCAAGCACGAAAACATGCTTCAATTAAACACTTATCACTTGCATGTGTTACGGAATTTTGCTCAAAATTTGCATGCTAATTTCGGCCATGTTTGCAAATCGAGAGGCGTTCGATTTTTAAATATTTTTGAACATGCTTAATAGAACACTTTAGCATGCTGTTAGAGCATGTGCACAGTGCAACAAAGTAATAATTTTAGGCAGAGAAAGACATTGTCTGTGTGTATACAATGTAACATAACACTCCCACATTTAATCAGGTATATTATGAGTCGGGTGTAATTGAGGGGGAGTTTTATTACATTTCATACAAGTTCAGACTCCGTGTTATTACTGAGAAATTTTTGAATAACCGAGAATAATTATAATACTTTACCCGATCCGCGAATTGATCATTACACTATCACTGATCCTTGAAAACGTATAGGTTACGTAAGATTCGAAAGTCCACCCGAGCGTATGGCGCGTCGCTTTCCGCGCGCGCCTCAAAGAGCCATCAGACCACCACAGATGGGGGTCAACAGGGCCGATGCCGATTCGGAGTCGCGGAAAACCTAATGGGTAACCGGGGCTCCGGCTCGACGTGCAGGAGATGGAACTGGGTGGTTTTTAGTCAGTAAGAGTCTGAGAGTCCCTCCTGCCTCACCCAGACGGGAGCAGCCATTCGATGTATTTCCCACCTTAAAAAAAAAGATTCTAAAGTCCAACCCTAACCAATTGAAGTGTTATTCCAACCCCTTCAAGTCAGATTAATCAGCAAAGCTTTACAGGTGGTCTGGTCTGCACTTAGGGGGGTTTGAAAAGGTAGCTAGGTACCCCTAGATTCTGTGGTATTTTAAATTTAAATTTGAATATACAAAGTATAAAAAATCTTCTCCCTTGACAGGGATAGTAATTGAGTGCACCCCCTTACGCCTGGTGTATGAATTTATAAATGTATGTAGCATGTATGTAGTGTGTGGATGGATGTAGGTATGTGTGTATGGATGGATGGATGTATGTATGTATGGATGAATATATGGATGTATGGATGTATATTTGGATGTATGGATATATGGACGTATGGATGGATGGATGGATGTATGGATGTATGTGTGTATGGATGTATGGATGTATATTTGGATGTATGGATATATGGACGTATGGATGGATGGATGGATGTATGGATGTATGTGTGTATGGATGTATGGATGTATAGATGTATGTATATATGGACGTATTGGATGTATAGATGTATGAATGGCATAGTAATAAATAAAAATCAAATTCTGTAAGTTGTAAAATCTTTATTGAAGCTAAATTTTGTCCATGATGACATCGTTGCAACTGGCTTACCAGCCAGTGTATACAGTCATGGCAATCCGTACTTTGTACAAAATAAATAGAAAAAAATATATTGACTTAAACATTTACCTTACAAATACAAAAATTACTAAAGTATTTTATTTTATTTGAACATGACTTTGGCATTAATTTTAAAACTACTTACATACTAATTTTCTTAAGGCAATAAAATAAAAATTTGGAATTTTTAGGAACTTTTCGACCAAAGTCTTAGTACTAATAGTAACAAGTGTCGAACACATAAATTCTCCAAAGATTGGTTGGTTGATGTCCTTTGCAGATTTCTTTCAAGTTATTTTAATGTTCTTTATAGATCACTAGAATATTTAATAAAATACACAATAATCCTTATTCCTTACAATCATAAATATGACTGCCTCGTTGGCCGAGTGGTCGCAAGTGCTACTGCCGGGCAAGGGGTCTGGGGTTCGAATCCCGGGTCGGGCAAAGTATTACTGGGTTTTTAAAAACGCTCAGTAGTAGCACGGATTCTAGAACTGTGCCCGGTATATGACAATAGGCTCACCCCTCATTACATGGGATTCGTAACATAAGTAGTGAAAAGTGGGTGTTACATTATACAGTGGCATTAAGTGCCGTAATGGCCACCTCTGCCTATCCCTTCGGGGATAAAAGGCGTGATGGTATGCTATGTTATATTGTCATAAATATGATAATGTACTTGTTTTTTTTCACATCATCACGTAGCGTTTTTATGATCTAATATTTGTATCTACTAATAGTTAAGAAGCTGGTGTGAAGGGATATAGGTTGCATTTTACTTTGACCACCTGGGTGAAGCATCGAAAGCTAGTCATTCCAGACCATAATACATTGTAGTAAGAATACATTTTTACGTAAAGATTGTCTGCGTTAAATGAAATCACTGATCTTTTTTCGAATCAGTTTTGCGATGATTGCTTCAGTAGTTTAAAATAAAAATGACATACAACTTTTTAAATTTTCACATACATAAAGCAATGTAGGTACATTTTTTTGGTTAAAACATCTAGAAATCTTGTTATTAAAGCTTTGGCCATCAAAGATATCATACCAACTTATGTAGACATATTAGACTAAATTATCATATGTTATTACAAGAACAATATTTTAGAGCGTAAGCATTATTCTACCTGAATACCTTATATTATATTACGTCACATGTTATCAATAATGGGTAGTTCATTCAATTAGGTAATAAAGTCGAAAAGACATTTGCAATCAAGAAAATTTAAACCAAAAAGTATCAAAATATTCAATATTGTAAGTACATCCTAGCTTAATTAGCGATTTTGAGTTTCAGCTTTCTATATACATTACATTTTTTGATCAAAAATAGGTACACATCACAGTTTACCCAACTCAAAACAGTATAACAATGTAAATTTTTCGCGCCACAAATAATCAACGGCAGCCATCTTGGAAGTGGGATGTATGACAGCTGACATTTGAGTTGTCAATATCTGGCTTATTCGGAAGACACTGTGACATTTAAGACCTTTTCAATTTATTATTGAGGTCAATGTTGACGTCAGTTTATTTTGGTAGCAAGCTTTTGACGATATCGATTTAATTAAATGAAGAAATATTTTATGGATTGCGTGATGAGAGAGAAATTATGACGTCATTTTTGCTATATTTGCTACTGTTATGAGATAGATTCTGTGCCAATTTGACACTTAATAGTAATACATTATAGTTGAATATTAAATATAGCGACCGTCCTCAGGCTGTGCGGTACGTAATGCTTACACTTATGTGAGAACCAATGCACTTTGCGTGTTCTATCGCCGCATCAGCATTCGCCGAGACCCGTGATCGCGTAATCTGGAATGAGGAAAATGGCGGTCATCATTTAGATGTTATAAAAGCTTTTATCTGATGTTAGCATTGTATAAGGAATACTTATTCGATCTAAGAACAGCTGACATTGTTGCTGTTTAGGAAAGTGATCAGCTATTTAGATGGCAAAAATCTTTTAAAAACGCGAACTTACACGTGCTCTCGCGACACGACACCTCTTCTAATTCGCACAGGGTTTCAAACGTCCGAGCAGTTCCCGTAGCATCGAAAGCACACACTGGTCCTGCTGGTGGTGACACACATCTGCCAGCACAGAGAGGAGGAGGGACGCCCTCCCTCACTCGTGCTCTCATCAGCTCAGCCGGCGCTCTCATATCAGGAGCCTCCCCGATTTCATTTGCGTCACCGATGCGGGATGGCAGGAACGGGACGCTTGCTGGTTGTACTTCGTTCCATGCTGGAAAGATGAAATAGTTTTGGATAAGGATCTTGTTAATTACAAATGAGATATTAAAGAAACTCTTCTTACTTTATTCTATAGTAATGCAAGAGAATTCGAGTTTAATAGTTTTGTCAATAAAGTATAACTCAAATAAAAGTCGAAGTTGATTTGAATCAATATGTTTACTGTGAGTATTATCATTTTAATTAAAACAGGATTTGAATTAAATAGATAAGTAATATAATAAATATATAACGGTAAAAGACAAATGTTAAACAACGAAGACATAAACAATTACTAAATAAAACTATGACATAATTTGACCTGCAACCAAACACACGCAAATCTCCATCAAAACAAAGCGCGCACGCCGCTCAACTCATTCGCGATAACTGCTTAACCGATGATAATAAAATTAATGGGGACATAAACGTAGCTTAATTGTTTCTTGTTTTATTCCATTATTGTTTTTCAACAGTTGTTCTTGATTACTGTTTGACATTTCATTTGACCTCTCAATCTAATCAGTGTTATTTATTTTCCTAAACTTTTCCTGTGATCTCATCCTCATATTACGCATTTGTGATGTCCTATCGGGTCCGTACAATATGTAAACATTGTTTGTAATGCATCGTGCACACGCCCCCTCTCATTGACTCGCATTTGATGGACAAACATACTTAGGAATGTCGTTTATTTGTTAATAATCGTTTCTTAGACATCTTCTAAAATCACAAGAGTCCAATAAATAGATAATACGTAGAATATACGGCACGAATCATGACAAAATTTTGCCAATGTGTTGTCTAGATGGGGTGAAATTCGTATATCGTGGATTTTCTCATTTAACCATGAATACATACTTCTTTTCTTATTCTCATGAAGACATTTTTTTTCCAAGTTGAATTTATTAAAAGTAAATGAAGGCAAAAACCGACCATAACGACAAATAAAATGCGCGACTTAACTTCACTTAACCTCGCCGCGACAAAATCTTACCATAGTTCGTGTCGGGAACTAAAAAAGATGTGTATGAGTTTGAATATTGCACTTTAATCAATGTTTAGAATTAGATTTACGAGTTATTACGTTCTAAACTTTGGTCTAGTGTATAGGTCAATTGGCAATGACTTAGAATTAGTCTTTATCTTTTAATTGCAATGTAAAGTGCTTTTAACTAATCTATAGTTATTAGTACACACAACTATACATCAAACTATGAAAACCAATATAAACTGATCGTCGACTGTGGGAAAAGGTCATACAAAGCGAATTCATGATAAAGTGGTATTGTATAGTATAGCAGTAATTTGTTTGATCAACTTGTTGTTTACATTTTTTCTATGTTTATTTGTAAAACTGTAATTAATCATTGAATGTGCTATCAGGCATCGGCGACCTTGATAAGAGGTTAAGGTTTCCATTAAATGAAGTGAAGGAAATATTCCATGGCCAATAGTTACAATATTTATTTATTGTAAGGCACATATAACAATGAAAATTGATCACATATGGGGACAATACCTACCAAAAGTTATCTAACTTGTAGTTAATTTTTTTAATGGAACTTCTGCATACACATACACGATATTGACATCATTCTACTATTGCATTCTGATTTAAAGCCAAAGTATAAATCTATACAGATAAATAAAATTGGAGTGTCTATTTGAAATATATAAAATATTGAAATAACTGTTTTTTACTACATGCATATAAATATGCAACCGATATATAAATATGAATATTTTTTGTCTGTCTTTTGTTTCACTGTCCAATTTTGATGGAACTTTTACAGCCAGGTCGCTGATGTACTAAGGAGTAACATAGACTACTTTTTGTATTGGAAAACTGAAACAAAAAAATTATTACGTCCTAAAACTCATATTCTACTGGAACGAAATCGCAGGCAGCAGCTAGTATACTAATAAGATCCTTTTATTATTTTTTATTACAATTGTACTCACTACACAGTGACATCACCAGTATCATACGTAATTTCACTTTATTACCCAAATATCCTTATCAATTCCCTATGACCTTCCATTGCCCAATGGCTACATAAACATCGTACGACCTTCCTCCACACCCAATCCAACAGTCCATTAAAAATTATCAGAAATCCCAAGCGATCCGTAGCAGTGTTGATAAAAACAATTGCATAATATCAAACGAAGCTTCACTAACTGCGCAGTGACCCAGGATGAAGTAATTAACAAATAATGAATAACTATAATTAATTAGAAATATGTTTTTATGATAACTATCGTGAGACATACTAATTTAACTAAAATCGCGGGATTCTCACATGAATATACTAAGAAAAGCTCTACTAGTTTCGCACTACAGAGGGGTTCTTCCTCAAGAACAGCGTGTGCGGTCGCGCCGATGTCACGCAGCTCAGGCGCAGCTCGTTTTTCATTATATCCACGTGAGGAATCCGCGATTTTACTTAAATTAGAAATATAGGTATTTTTTTTGCATCCAGTGAATGTATGGGTATGAAGTGGAATCTTGCAACTGAATTTTGAAGCTGATACCTTCAACCGATTGAGCTGAAATTTAGTCTAGACATACGTGTAGTTTGTATGACCTAAATGCTTAGCTCAATTTAAGCGATCTTAAAGTTCGCCGTGAAATTTAGGTATACCTAAGTATCCAGTATTTAATAACATTTTTGTACCTATGTCACTCGCGCAAGACAAATCCAACGGTACATTACTTGTTTAAATCCACAAAGCCGTTTAGGATATAGCAGGAAACAAAGAAACGGACATAGACCCATACAAACATACGCAATGAAAACACAACCCTCTTTGTGGCAGTCCCGTAAAAATCCAAAGCGATCCGTAGTATTGTAGATAAAAACAATTGCATAACATCGTATGAAGCTTCACTAACTGCGCAGTGACCCAGGATGAAGTAATGACTATGATTTTTTTATCATACTATGTCGGTTTGGTTTCCAGAAAGGGTAATACATATCTAGATAAGGGTCACTTCCTCAGTGACTCACCGGTTGTACTACGCGTTAAATAATTACGTATGTGACTAATCTCTAAGTTGATTGTCATTTGTTGAATTTCCCAGGCAATTGTAACAACTGTATAAGTGTATAGGTACATGTATCTATGTATGGGTCATTGAGGCTTTTTATGTGTGTAGTTTATGTTTCATAGCTCTTTTGATGGTGTGGTTACAATAAACTATCGAATATAGGGTTTTACATAGACGACGGTTACGGTTTCGACGTCAAAGTAGGTACTTTTATAATGTAGATTTGTCCTAACAAAAATGATATTTTACTATGAATTTTATTTCAAAATAAAAAAAAACTCGATATTTTCATGAGTGAAACGGAACCTGTATAATTAACTTAGTATGTCTCACGACAATAGGGATGATAATGGAGTTCGATAATTAAAAATCTAATTAGTCCGTCAGTTAGGTAATGAAAAAATATTAGACACGTATTTTTTTATTTTGGTTTAAGTATTAATAATAAAATGATACTTAGATATAACGAATCAAAGTTTAGGAGTGGGGCTTAAAACGTCATTTCTACGTATAAAATGTACATAGAAGTGACGTCACGCGACATTTCAAATCAATATATCGTCGAAAGTATTCGTTTCTGTAAGAAAATAAAAAATACGTGTGTAATATTTTAAAATAATGCACCAGACGGACATTAAAATAAAATAGTCATCTACCCTATTAGACAAATAATTTAAATATCTTTCTCACATACTGAGGCTCATTTTTAGAAAAGGAGTAGTATAAAAATAACAATTAGTTAATCGATAGTATCGAGTAAATCCGGTTAAAACTCGTTTACATTAGAAACGATGTATTTAAGTCAATCGCGTCCAAACTAATATTTACTTAGTATATTAATAATGCATTGTCGTGCAATCAACTGGGTTAACGGATGTATTAATACAATTGTTTGATACTATGCCATTGATAATGTTTATAACATATATTACCTAAATACTTTATTTACAAAAGTACGCTAATTTCTATCTGAAAGATATAGGTATTTTTTTATGGGATAAGTCGGTAAACGGGCAGACAGATCACCTGATGGTAAGCAATCAGCGTCACCCATGGACACCTGAAAAACCAAAGTTACAAGTGCGTTACTGGCCTTTTGGGAATTGGGAACGTCTGTTTTCTGTGAGGCTGTGGTCATCACTCCGGTCGAGCCGGTCCATTCGTGCCGAAGCATGGCTCTCGCTCGGCATGTAGTCTTAAGAGTATTTAAGATTGCTAAAGCACCTTTCAGGTCAGAATTATATCAGTTCCATTGATTTCATAGCTTTGGTTTTCCATTATCTCTGTGCCTAGCCAGATTAGAAATAAACCTCATGGAGTATATTGTATTTAAATGTATTATAATACATTAACATACAGTTTTTGTAACAATACGACAAATCCGTGGGTCGAAAGTTAGTAAAAGTCTTAAGCCGTCCGCTTTAAGATTTCCTGGTAGACAAATACCTACAAATAGGTATATGTTCCAACTATTTGCTTCTGACAGGTCTCATTGAAATATCTATTGGTGCTTTCAACGATTAAATGTTACTGGGGGCAAGTCACATTAAAGGAATGTCACCGGATTGTAGTCCTGGCACATATAATGTTACTTCATGTAGCTTAGAAAAAAAATAAGACATTATTAATAGGTAACTAAATAACTCGGAAAACTTCAGACCTCCGAAAATATTTTTTTTCTCACCTTTTAAATCTTCCATGGACCTTTACAAATGTTTAGAGACTAAAGTTAGCTAAAGTGCTTCAGCCGTTCCGAGTTTTATAGAGACTAACAAACGAAAACTCATTTTTATTTATAAAGGTAGATAATTATATTAGCAGTCTAATTTCAAAACAATCTCAATCTAAATCAATGTAAGTTAGTTGTACAACACGTGTATTTTCAACGTGTTCATGATTGTTCCAAAATAAAATCTTTTAGCCATATACTTAGTAAATCAAAATATCAAAACAATTCATTCCATTAAAAACAATGTAAAATAATCAAGTTATAACAAAAGTTTCATTTTCTAAATCCAATACGGTCTAAAGCCTGTCACATGACAAATGGTTTCAAGTCGAGAGTTGGTCACGTGTGCACTAGTTCATTGACTTAGACTTTGCAATTACTATAGTCAATAGTGCAAGCTATCTGGCTTGTGCCTAGAGATAAGCCTGATGTCGTATTATGCTGACGATCTACAACCGAAGGAATATGACCCGGACATGTGGGTACATGAACATACATAATGATGTAGACTTTGTAGTCTACAGTCCAGTGTAGGCTGTTAACCTCCTTATGTTTACTTAATATTACAACATGTTACCTATATAATAAGAATCTTTTTTCAATGGTATTAATTATAGGGGTGAGAATAAACGCCACTTGGTGTACAAGCTTACTTTTTTTTGTGCATAAGCCGGTAAACGAGCAGACGGATCACCTGACTTACCTTACCTTACTTACTTTGTTCGAGTTTAACGATAAGTTCGAAAATTAATTAAAGACATCGTATGATTTACTTGGGGTTAAACTTGGAAGTAAACCTATATACATGTGAATAGTTATTTTTATTTTCCTGCACCAATATACAATGTATAACTGAAAAGTCTAAAAGAAAGTTGAAAAAGTTTGGACAGGTTTTGAATTACTTAAGTAATTTTTTTTTTTATTAGATGAGTTTGAGTTTTAATAGGTTTTAAAAGTAATGAAATGAAAAAGGTGCCTTGAATATAGTACATGCTTTTAGTTTATTACGCACAAGTAAAAAAAAAAGTTTGAATATTTCCGTAGTGGGTCCCACATTTAGCTACGACGTAGCAGCTACGGCGTAGACATAGCTACGTTTTGATTTATTTTTACGAACGCTTGTGTAGTAACTATGTTTTATTATTTTTTCTACGTGTGGTTTTACTAAGATAAGATGAACGGCTTCAGTCAGTTCAGAACGCGTCATGGAGTGACACGGCCATCCATGATATTCCTTATTTAATTATGTTAATTAATTTTAAATAAATATATAACAGCTCATATCGAGATGACTTTTATGTACAAAGCTTAATGCGAGATGTATCAATCGTCATAACATATTTCTTCTAAAGTACATTTTGTATCGACTAACGATCAAACGAAATAAATAATGATTACGTAAATGCAATCAATGCAATAAACATTGACAGAAGGATGATAGGTGACTGTGCTTAATACTAGAAGCACACACTCACACCCACACACATGCACATACCTAAATGTATACAGATAATATCATACACATTTTTATATCGTCAAATCTTTTACTGCCAAGGGTCTTATTATAATGCCACTACAATGTGTCACCGTCTTTTGACCGTTTATGTTATAACTCTCATGTGATAGGAGGTTACCCTTAGTACATTATACCGGGCACAATTCGAGACAAACAAAAAAAACCAATAATACCTTCCCTAATCCGGGAATCGCACCCTAGACCACTTGTTTGGCAAGACGCACTTGCGATCATTTCACCGACAAGGCAGTATCTCACACATACATAGATCTTATCACGTCATCACTTATCCATATGTAATCTGTGGTTTAAGAACATGATTGTTGCTTTTAAAAAAACGCTGGCCGCACAAAAAATAGGCTGTATGACAGAGATAATTTGACGATGATTAGTGTTTTTGTGTCAATGTAGTAGTTTGGTTTTGATTGGTATGGTAGGTAATAATTTATGGTCAATCTTTCCTCATGTTTGTCATTTGTTTTTTTTTTGTCAACAAGCTCATTAAAAGGAATCTTTATACTAATAAGTTTTGTCCAATCAGGCTGACCAGTCACCTCCATATAGATAAAAACTAAACTTTGACTACGTGATTCAGAATCAACGTTGACGTCAAAACTCAAATTCTATGTATTATAAAGTCCCGGCTAAGAAAACAGTCCCGAAACAATGACAAACAACATGATAATAATTTATTCTCAGAATGATTTACCCCCTCAAAAAGGTAAGGTTGGTGGATTGGAAATAGTAGTAAAAAAGAAATATGTTTATCACTGTTATTTTTAGTATTTAACGCTGTTCCTCTGTCTTTGTTAAATATGTAGTCTCGTCTCTTAAAGATATGGGTATGAAGATGAGGGTGGTGGCAAATATGTTCTAATCTGGCGTCATTACATCATCATCATCATCATTATCAACAGCCTGTAAGTGACCATTGCTGACCAAAGGCGTCTTCTTACACGGACAAGGTTTGAGCATTAATCACCACGTTGGCTCAATGCGGTTTTTTTTTTATTGGGGAATATCATCGAACGGCTGTTCCCGCGTGGGTGAGGCGGGAGGGAGTGTCAGACTCTTACTGACTAAAAACCACCCCGTTCCTTCTCCTGCACGTCGAGCCGGAGCCCCGGTTACCCGTTAGGTTCTCCGCGACAAGCTCAATGCGGGTTGGCTTTCAAACTTATAATAAGACATTATAAAGCCCAGGTTTCCTCACGATGTTTTCCTTCACTGTTCGTCAGTGGTGTCTAAATAACCTTAGAATGTATGTATATATAACTCGTAAGAAGTCATATTGGTACTTGCCGTTTCTAGATTTCGATCCGGCGCCTTCATGCATGAGAAGCGGGTGTCTTAAACCTCTTCGCTACCACGACGTTAGTATGAATATAAATATTTAAAATTGAGATGATTTTCGAAGTAGTGAGTATAAAGTGATTGCAGTTGCCGTCGTCCGTATGTCTGCCCTATGATCGATTACTCACAGCTAATAATAAATGTGCGCTGCCCTCGGTGGGCGTGTTACGATAACCTTAGGCTCAAGCCGCCAAACGGTCTAATGTTTCACTCGTTTCTACTTCAAGTAACCGTCTTTGTGTTGCTTTATAGTAAATATAAGATCTTTGTAATGGTTAGGACCTTTTTGTTGATGAGGTTATGATATTTCTAAAGGGTAAGTTGATGAGTTACTTTTGTTACATACTGAGTAAAATCTTTTAATAGTAAACTGTAATCTATGAAAGCAAACGTCGATTAAGTACATAATGTATTGTAGTGGTAACAATAATAAATCCGTTCACAATTCAAACAAAGAAATAAAACAATGTTTACGAACCTATATAAAATAATATAATAATATTCAACGTTGTATCAACAATTAATTAAAAGTATTTCTGTGTTTCTATGTCCTTTTATTACAAATTAATTAAAATATCATACGTTGTTGTGTTTTTCCTTATACATGGTACTGTAGGTTAATTTCATGCACAGTGTAGGTGTAATAATGATGTTTATAAACCTGACCTAATAAAACTGAATTTTCCTCATTCGTTTTATTAAAAAGCAACAACAAAAAAGTTTAATCATTTAAATAATTCCATTAAAAAGAAAAAAAAACACTTCATATAACTCACCAGCAACTAACACTAGACACAACAAAAACTTCCCGTTTAACATTTCCAACTAATTCAGTCCAAATATTTGAGACACCACTTTCGCGACACTACTATTATTAAAACCTCTTTTTATATTTTTGTTTTTTATCTATGACAAAATTCGAACGCCAGTCAAAAGTATTAGCAGATTTGAATTGTTTTTTTTTTATTGTAAGCGACGTTGTATAGAACTTATCTGTTCACTGGTGCATCAGTGACTGTTCCAGGATGGGCGGAAGGGGGGATGACAGTAGTGGTGGCAGCGATAACCTCTGACTCGGCCGGAGGACGAACCTCTGATAACGGCTTCGACTTTCAAATGAGAGCGAGTATTCTTTCGCTACAGATAAAGGAACGACTTCGAGGATTGTTTTTTTAATCTTTTAATTTTAATTAATAGTTTTTTAGAGGTTGATGACTGCAGTTTTTTAATAAGTCATTCTGTGTGGTTACTTTACTTTTTAATTCAGGTATTATGAGTTATATTTTTTTATCTCATAATAAGTTTTGTTTTTTATACTAGAATCTGTTCGTGGAACGCGTTAATTAGTATGGTTATGAAGTGCGTAGGTGTCCGGACATTGTTTATTAAATTATATTGTCGTTTTCTTGGTCGACCGCTGATAAGCGCTGATAGGTACTGAGTTCGAGGTTTCACATTTGGTTCTGAGATCTGTTTGATTACAAATTTTAATTGTGATGTTGACTCAGTAAACTGTGAATTGTCTCCATAACTATTGTTTCGATATTTAAAAAATATCTTATTAGGTGTTGAGGTTTACCAATCATATACCATGAACAAATAAATGCTCGCATTCAAACATAAGGCTGATACAGTAACAACAATCGATATGTGCAAGTTAATTCCTTAAACTTAATTTATTTTTAATTTTTTATTAAACCTGCCAGTAAATCGTGTCCCTTCGTCCAGCATACTCACCATGGAATCCTGATATTTCATGAATGTCAAAAAACTGTTCTGAAATAGTGCTAAATAGTGCCCAAAGGAAAAAAATAGTGCTCTTGTACTTGCGAAGTTATAGCCATAGTTCGATGAGTATGCTGGACGAAGGTTTCGCCCAGCATACTCACCTCCGTCCGGAGAATCTGTATACGCTTCAAACATAATTCATACTTCAAAAAATAGTTCCCAAATAGTGCCAAACGGTGCCCAAAAAGAAAAAACAGTGCTCGAATAACTTCGGAGTTATAGGCTTCGTTCAGTGAGTATGCTGGGCGTAGGTTCTACGCCCAGCATACTCACCTCAGTGCGCGAATATCGAACGAGCTATAGGTACAATTTACGTCTCAAAAAATTGTGCTTGAAATAGTGCCCAATATCAGTCCAATTTTTGCTTGACTTTTGACCTAGAAAACCATTAAATTTGATTGTAAACTTCTACATACATTACATTGAGTACAGTCGAATACAATATTATTAACTTTCTTTCTAACAATTTTTGTCTTGTGTAAATTATTAATTGTCTATGTAAGGGAGTATTTACTTTAGAATCGCAATATTATTAATTACACATTATTTTAATAATACGGTAAACTATAGGGTATTTAATATTAATAAAAAAAACGTGATTATAAACTGTGATTGCTCAATTTATACTTATTTGTAAGATAATTTTATTGTGATTAAAACGTTGTAGCAGTAAAACAAAGTACAAGTACCTACGTGTTATATTTTAGAAAGTTTTACCAATATTTGGCTAAACATTTTTTTATATGTATATTATATACAATATTAAAACTACAATTTTTTCTATTTACATTGATTATATTATGAATGTTAACAAAAGCTGTGAACTAGTTAACTAGAATTCTGATTACTTTGGCCCTTTAAATAGTAATAAATAACGTAAGTAATTAAAAATGTTTTTTATTGCTAAACCTTTCATTGATGAAACTATTGGAAAGAGTTTTAAAAATTTGTATAACTATGTCACAGTACTAGTTTTGACTGGTTATAAGTTTTGCCTGCAACATATATACAAAAAGAAACTGTATAATTTCCTTTTTACAATTTTTCAAGATATTAATTTTATTGGCTGCAAATGACTGTTTTTATTCAGACAAACACACAATGCAATGAAGTAATAGACTTCATTTACGCTTAAAGTTTCATTCATTTATTATTATTTATAAAATATATAATAATGCATTTAATCGAAAGTTTTTGACATGTGAGAAAATACCATAATTATTTCCAATAACATGAAGTCTACAATTAGAAAGTTTAATATTTTTGTCCAAAAACATGTGTCGACGACTGTACCCCATTTTACGTTAGTATGTAGAAGTTTACATTAAAATTTAATGGTTTTCTAAGTCAAAAGTCAAGCAAAAATTGGACTGATATTGGGCACTATTTCAAGCACAATTTTTTGAGACGTAAATTGTACCTATAGCTCGTTCGATATTCGCGCACTGAGGTGAGTATGCTGGGCGTAGAACCTACGCCCAGCATACTCACTGAACGAAGCCTATAACTCCGAAGTTATTCGAGCACTGTTTTTTCTTTTTGGGCACCGTTTGGCACTATTTGGGAACTATTTTTTGAAGTATGAATTATGTTTGAAGCGTATACAGATTCTCCGGACGGAGGTGAGTATGCTGGGCGAAACCTTCGTCCAGCATACTCATCGAACTATGGCTATAACTTCGCAAGTACAAGAGCACTATTTTTTTCCTTTGGGCACTATTTAGCACTATTTCAGAACAGTTTTTTGACATTCATGAAATATCAGGATTCCATGGTGAGTATGCTGGACGAAGGGACACAGTAAATCTACGTCACGTAATAAAAACAAACTATGACGTTGAAAGGCACAGTATACGTCATAACATGATTTTGATAATGAATCATTAAGATTATGACGTCTATAGGTAGTACATAACGCACCTACGTCATAAAGTATTTTTGTTTTTTTTTTTCTAAGCAAGCAAGCCACCAAGTGTCGCCCAGTAGGGCTGATGACGATACGGAGCCGCGGAAGACTTAAAGGCTTTTCGGGGCTCGGGCTCGAAGTGTAGGAGTAGGAACGGCGTGATTTTTAGGTCAGTAAGAGTCTAACGCTAGAGGGATCTAACCTCACTCGCGTGGGAGAAGTCATTGGATGAGTTTCCCATCTCAAAAAAGGCGTTATTAGCACGTGCCTAATAGACTACTAATACGTGGAGATGCTACAAGAACATCATACATACCAGTTTCAAAGGAATAGGAATTGGCCATTTTTCTACCATAGGTTTTTTGTTTGATTGTTTTATTGGCCATAACTAACACATACACATACCATCACGCCTTTTATCTCTGCAGGGGTAGGCAGAGATGCACATTAATAATAAAACACCACTAACAATGTAATACTCACTTTTTCACTAATTATATGTTATGATTCCCATGTAATAGGGGGTGAGCCTATAGCCATATAACGGGCACAATTCCAGACTCCGTGCTACTACTGAGGATTTTTTTAAAATCCTTTAGTACTTTGTCCGACCCTGGAATTTAACCCGAAACCCCATACCCAGGTCGCAAGCGCGACCACTCGGTTATTGAGGCATTTGCCATAACTATAAATAGAAATATGAATAGTCGTATATACCATTTTGTATTATCTTTATGACAATGTAATTCCTAGTAGGTAGGTACCTACCCATCTATAGTTTTAAGAACAAGCTGTGATAAATGATGAATGGGAAATCCAATATTGATTTTTATTTGCGAAACAAAGGCGTCATTTAAAAGTATCATCGACTATCATTTTGCGGTAATATCTCTGGTTTATTTGTTTTGCATTTCATATTGTATTAAGTACCTCTTACATATATAACTTTGGAAATTCAAAAAGGTGAAGTCTTCGTCTTCTTTTTTTTGAAACGTTGCTCCACACGAGTTTTTCTCCTGTCGTGGGTGCTTTTACAAATATACACGTTCACATACATATGACAGTCAGACCCGAAAAAACAATTTATGGATCACACGAAGAGTTGTTCCGTGCGGAATCGAACCCGCGAAACGTTGCGCGGCAGCCAGTTGCCCAGCCACCGTGCCAACCGTGCTGTCAATTAATTCAAAATTAATCGTCTATAGATGTAACCTTCCTGCATATTGATGTTTTTCTTTCTTTTTTTTGGAATAGGAGGCAAACGAGCTGACGGATCACCCGATGGTAAGCGATCAGCGCCGCCCATGGACACCCATTCAGAACATGTACTGGTTTTCATAAAAAACATATGCAGAAAACGAGTTACAATAAAAAGATTAAACAGTGTCATTATCTGTTAGTGTTATGATAATAATGCTAACTAACTGGTTATTGGACTTAAGGTCGTCTCTAGCCAAGACAAGTTGCAGGTTGTTATACAGTATGCATTCAAGAAGTCAATGTTACAAGTTAGTCCCTTTTCCATATTAAAGTTACATGTTTCACAGCAAACGTTGATGGAAAATTTTGGCAGCTGTTGGCTCTTATTCCCAAGAGCATAAGAACTAACACAAAACAGAAACACAGCGTAATACACAACAGAGTAACAACATAAAACAGTAAATGGCAGACCATGCTTCCACAAGTATGTGCACACAACATGATATGAATTATTTATTAATCCAGAACGAAATTAGAGATCATCAACAGCTTATAAATGCCCACTACTGAGCAAAGCCTCTTCTCACATCGAGAAGGTTAGAGGATTAATCACCGCGCTTGCTCAATGCGGGTTGGCGATTTCAAACTTACAATTAGAAATTATAACCCCAGGTTTCCTCACGATGTTCTCCTTCAGCGTTGGTCAGGGATGTCTAAATAATCTTAGAAAGTACATATAACTCGGAAAAAGTCACATTGGTACTTGCCGTTGGTAGGTTTCGAACCCGCACTCTCGTGCATGAAAAGCAGGCGTCTTCAACCTCCGGGCCACTACGACATAAATTAGGGATAAATAGGAATAATAAAGAAAATTAACAATGCAATTAAACATTAAATACATTATTCAATATTATTTTCATTATCAGATCGAGCAAATAACAATTTCCTAATATTTTTAAATTTGTGAAGCGAGGTATTGTGGATATCAGGCAGGCACGCCCCCGTTCAGAATAGCTCGTTGTACTTGCTGTCAAAATTGGTAAGCAACTTGCTAGTGGAACTTAGAGTTAATCCCTAATTAGTTTTATTCCATTCTTCCCTATAACACCTGGTCATCATCCACTCCACACTTGAATCTATTTTATATTTCTCACAACCTTCCTTTACTCGATATTTAATAACAAGATCGAATTTTTAATTTTGTTTTTCATAATATTCGCGAACAACCCTGTATTACCTAGAAATTAAATTTCTTCCTTTTTTCTTTCAAGTTACAATTTAGAGATGCGAAAACAATAAGGTTCACAAACTTTAGTGTCTTATACATACATTTTTTCTAAACCTGTACCTACATGTAAATAAACCATAATATCTTCGTCATAACACTAAAATATCACTTATTAACACTATTACGCAAACAAAAACCAATAAGCACAAAACTCTGAACAAAAAACAATATGAAGTTCACTATAAGAATATTAAAAATAATGAAAATGTGCTAATAGGCGTGATAATAATTACTTAGGCTAGAGGTCAACAGTTACTGAGACATCGATACTTTGCTAGCGAATCATGTTCATTGACGTCACCAAGATACATAATACATATATTATATGTAAAGTATGTAGAAACTACATATTATGATAAAATAATATAAGGTTAACACCTTCATGTATCTGTGACGGTTTGAGTTTAAAGGGCTTTAGTAATCAGGTGCCTGCACTATTGTGTTAACTTCTTAATCCCCGATTATGAAAAACCCACAACATTTGTTCATACAAAAGTAGTCGCTAAACATAGGAAGTAAGGCCTATAATGGACAATGGAGTAAGTGGAGAGCGATATTGATTTTATTAATTTGCCTACATAAATAAAGGAAAAAAGGGCGTTATTTGGCGTGCAACTGTCTCTGCCTACTCCATTGGGGGACGGGTGTCAAATGTCTAGGTTTGTACTAAAATCAACGTCAAAATATTCATTAAATTGGACTATTTTCAGTTTATTTCGTTATTAATTTAAATGAAGATTATTGCTCACTTTAAGTTACAATAAAGTATAACAATTATGAATTTAAATTATGTATGTAAGTCGAATACATTTAGGGCTGATTTTCAATCATCAGTTAAGTCTAAACTGTAGAATAAAATTGACATTTGAGAGTTTTAAAGTATGGAAGAATCGTCAAATATTCAAAGTTATTCCTCAGTTAACTCGACACAATTATAGAACAATAGGTTGCGGTCACCGGTGACCGCTTGGTGTTTGACAGTTTAAACTTTATCTGGCGTTGGAGAAATCAGCTCTTATACTATGTAGGAACGTAGTTTGGCATCATGTAGTTTATCGTTAGGACCAAAAACAAATTCGCAGATACCTACTTATATAAAAGAATGTTTATGTGCAGGTATCGCTTTATTTAATAAGTAGATAGGTACATATGTAATGTATTTGTTATTATATTGACGCCACGAGACGTAAATGCGGTTTGTACATAATATAGTACAATAGTTAAGATGCTGTACTTAGGCATTATGATCAAGGAAACTATTAAATGTTTTGTTTGATCGTATGATTTTATTTTTGCAATTACTGTTTAGTATCTATTAATTTAAATAAATATAGTTTATGTATTCGATTCGATATTGAAGTAAACAACGATTATATGCGAACAAAATTACAGATTAAGGTATATTGTTTTACGGAGATCCTGTTGTTTACTGGTTTTATAATGGTATCATCACGCTTTACCAGATAAGGTAATTACAGTCTACAGGCATTGTAATAAAGACTACTCATGAGACATACCATGAAGGACTGCCCATGTGTTGCAATAAGGACGAGTCTATTGTTAAATATGTATTTTCCATAATTCTGTGGACGTCTTCCCAAGCTAATAGGACAATACTATACTATGTTATGTTGTGGTGGCCCGAAGGTTGAATACACCCACTTCTCATGCATGAGGGTGCGGTTAACGGCCAGTACCAATGTGACTTTTTCCGAGTTATATGTACTTTCTAAGATTATCTAGACACCACTGACTAAAGGTGAAGACATCATCATCGGTGAATTCATCACAATTGCCCCAGATTTATTATTCTAGCAATATCGATGATTATGTATTTTGCGTTATCTTGCACCCTCAGAAAGCAATAAATGTATGAAAATGATGAATCTTTGAACTGGTATAACTTTGTCATCTTGGATCCTACAACTTTTACGCCATAATAACTATTGCTCCAAATGGCTAGTTCTAACGATACGTACCATTTTTCGTTGGCCGACACTTTAAGAAAAAGCTAAAAAATGTATAGAGGCGATATGATCTCCTTTCAAATTATTAATAATAATCGCTAACACGCATTGAGTACCTAAGCGTGGCGATGAATGCTCAAACCTTCTTCATTTGAGAAGAGGCTTTGCTCAGCAGTGGGCATTTATAGGCTGTTGATGATGATGATGGTTAGACGACTGTTTTAACTAACGACTTGTCTTACCTGCATTAGAGAGTTGTAATGTTACCGGCCAAATTGTACCTCTAGGTTGAAATCTTCATCTTCTCTTTTGAATGCAGATATTTTGAGTGTAGAAATAAACTGGTTATTTATAACAAAATTCAGGAATTTCCAGCGTGCAAACATAACTCCATGCCTAAAAAGATAGTCAAGGCATCCAAATAAATTAACAATGTCGTCGGGTTTAATAATAAAATGCCTGATACATTTTTTGTATTTTCCTTGTTTGAGACATATAGAGGGTATCTTATTTTTTAACTATATTGTGGTGGTGTTATCGCAAAATTGTCTAATAAGTACCTACATAATATGTCAATTTTAATATGTAATAAATTACTACTGGAGAAACTTTTTTGAAAAGGTCTAAAACAAAAAATATATCTTTTCAAATGGGTTACATTTTTAACCGACTTCAAAAAAGAGGAGGTTAACATTGCGGGTGGTCTCGTTTTTATTTAACTTACAATATGACAAATACCCTTCTTTTCAAATTAAAACCAGAAAAGGTGTAGGTACTTCTATTGACACCATGCAGTGCTGTGAATTTGTGTTTTAATAAAATGCTATTTATATAGCAGCCCGACCAGTTGCAGATCTGGTCTGATGCATACAGCAATATAAAGGTTCATCCCCCTTTGAAGGAAAAATGTTCTCAGGAGTTCCTGAGAACAGGTGACGATTAATTAAGACATTAGTGTTGAGAAGTTATCGATAATAATTTGATGTATAAGTAATGTCAATAATGATGCAGTTTGTAATCCTCGACGTAGTAGAAAGAGGTTCACATACATCACATAGGAACTTACCTACAAACATACATAAAATGTAACACCCACTTTTTATCAAAACCAGTTTTTTTATGGAATAGGAGGCAAACGAGTAGACGGATCACCTGATGGTAAGGAATCAGCGCCGCCCATGCCCACACCTGCAACATCAGAGGAGTCACAGTTGCGTTGGTGGCCTTAAAAATGAATACTCTTTTTTTGAAGGTTAAGGTTAGTTTTAATAATATAGTTATTTGCTATGAGCCCCATGTAATAGGCGGTGAGAGTATGAAGACTCAGTGAAATAATTAAGATTTTTTTGAAAAATCTAAGGTATAGGCCTAAATGTAGGTACCGCCGTATCAGTACCCATTGTTGTGACGGGATACTAGGGTTTTAATTAGTAAAAGTCTGACAGGCCCGTTAACCAGAAAAAAAACGTAATCTAGCCAAATTCTGATAATCTTTGCATTACAATTAACTGTTGACAAGTGGGAATGACTGTGACATGAAATCGGCCTATCTGTAAAATTTTACAAAATTTTAAGTAAAAAAAAATATTCTAAATATAAATTAATTGAAATTGTAGTCCCTATTTATCGGTACTTACAACAATTGATAACTATGTCATATTCAATATATCAATTGCATTGCGATGGATATATTTAAAACACATAAACGACTTACCAAGAAAGATTACTCATTTAAAGATAACAATTAACTTTTCCTCATTTACATCTTTCAATAATTATAAGGAAAAACGTCACAGGGAATGGGAAATTCACATCGAATAACTGTACCCCAGCACTAATTCTCGGACGCATACGCGTTGGTCGTATGCGCGTGAGTTTATAAACAAAACCGGTGTCTCCTAGTGGACAGTCAGTGGCCGACGAGCGTCTCGAACGTTGTACTTATACGACAAAAACTTTTAACACACTACCATCAACGTAACATAATTATTTAAAAAAAAATGGACAAGCTGTGCCTTTTTTTCGTAATTGGTAAGTTATTTTTTTTAAATAGTTTTTTGTTTCTAACCTCTTTTGTTTAATGTTTGGTAGTTGATAATTGAGGCAAGGGTCACTATTTAAATTAGATAACAATAGAATTCCCAGTTTTATAATATTTATACAAATATGTATTAAACGGAAACCATTTTAGTGATAATCATCCGATTGTACCCTTTACTTAAAATCTGCATACGCAATCGTGGTCCATTAACACGAAAACGTATTATTTGGCCAATATTTATGCTAATTTATATTTTGGACTAAATAAGTAATGAAAACTAGATTTTGCGAAACTGGTTTTTATTTAAATTAAGCTGAAGCACGTTTTTGAATGTTAATATCATTTATTAATCCGATCCGCAGACGCAGGTAGCACACAAACGTCAGTTTTGTAGTTTAACGAGTTTTTGTTGTTTCTTTTTGTGAATAATTCAATGTAATCTGTTAGAAGCAGAAACCGCAATATTTGTTTATAAACGAACATTGTCTGCTAGATTAGTTAGGAACATAATAAATGGCTTAACATAAAGGCCAGCCATGTAATCATTGAGCACATCAAAAGAAATCGAAAACCTTATGCTCGAATTTAGCATTTGAAAAAGAGGGGAAGATGAAACAATTAGCAGCGAAATAAACAAAAAATAATACTATAACTAGTTACAGTTAGTTTCATATTTTATCACATCACGTGCGGGTCATCATCAATCATTATCAACCGCCTATAGTTAAGTGCCCACTGCTGAGCAAAGCCTCTTCTCATACGGAGAAGTTTTGAGCATTAATCACCACGCTTGCTCATTGCGGGTTGGTGATTGCAAACTAATAATTAGGTTTCCTCACGATCTTTTCCTTCACCGTTTGTGGTGTCTCAATAATCTTAGAAAGTACATATAACTCGAAAATACTCACACTTGCCGTTTGTAGGTTGCGAACCCTCACTCTCATGCATTAGAAGCGGGCGTCTTAACCTCTGGGCCACCACGACATTTTTATATTTTTACAGTTTTGTTTCATATGCGAGAAAAGGCGGTTATTTCAAGACGGTTGCCTTTCAAATACAAACGTGTAAGAACTAAGACCAAAAGAAAGTGGACCATGCATCGCCTAAACTTTTGTTAAAGTACAAATAGACTATAGACACAATGAACCCATTCAGTAAAACACTTAAAAACAATTTTGGGGATTCCCATGGTACCTATACTTATGACGTTGAATATAACGGCCATGTTCATTAATTTAGATGACTCGTAATGTTCATTTATCCTCGCTTCCTACTTCTCGACAATATTATATTATTTATTTCTTATGTAGCAATATGTAAAATTCATTTACTTGTGATGCAAAACTTATGTTGAACGAATCATACATTATTAATAAAAATCAATAACCTGAAACTTAATAATAGGCATAATGTTAAAAAGTAAGTAGCTTTTGAATAATTTGTCTAAGTATACTGATCTAGTTTAGCTTATTTTATCTCATTAGATAATAGTATGACAGCTTGTACTTAATAAGTACTTAAAAAACATCTACAACAGTTGTTGAGGGTAGTCCAAAAGTTTAAAAATGGACTTGATAACTAAACTTACTCAAATTGTAGTCAGTTAGGTCAGGCGATCCCGACATTTTATGGTAAGAAAAACTATTAATTATATTTTTTGTTTATTTCAGCTCTTTTCGCAAACACTCTGGGTCAAGATGCACAAAATCCCGACGACTTAGAAGACAGATATGGCTTTAACCAAAATTGGTTCCCAGGCCAACAGAGGCCAAACGGATTCCCACAATTCCCTGGTCAGAATCAATTCCCCGGTCAGAACCAATTCCCAGGACAATTCCCCGGTCAGAACCAATTCCCTGGTCAGAATCAGTTCCCCGGTCAGAACCAATTCCCCGGTCAGAATCAGTTCCCCGGTCAGAATCAGTTCCCCGGTCAGAATCAGTTCCCCGGTCAGAATCAGTTCCCCGGTCAGAATCAGTTCCCTGGTCAGAATCAGTTCCCCGGTCAAAACCTATTCCCTGGATGGACTACCCAGAGGCCACAAACTACCACTACACCTGCCAGTGGGTGAGTAGTAATAATAAAGATTTTTTTTTATTTTACTTATTTCCTGAAGACTAAGCAAGTTACATGTTATATTATTGTTGCATATTTTCATTTAAAATCATAAGTTTTACTTGACATATTTTTATTGAACTGAACTATAACTGAATGGCATTGGTAGTGACGCACATCAATCGATATTATCTATTTAGGTCGAACGTCGATGAAATAAAAAGCTAACATTTTGTTATTAAATAATGTAACTTTGTTAGAACTTTGTATATACTCGTGGTATAAATGTAGGATTTTAATAAATGGATAAAAATAACAAATGATTATAATGCAAATTGGCTTAGCGAACCCTCTCTGCATTTTCCAAAACTTGACTTGACATCTACCGATGCACTTCGTCCAATTATACAGTTCTAAATATAAATATATAATTAAAATTTTTTGCCATTCCAGTAGCACAACCATGTCGCCCGCTCAACGTCAGTGCATCAGCTCTTGTCCTGTGACAGCTGAATACAACCCTGTCTGCGGTTCCGACGGTGTCACTTACACCAACCCTGGAAGACTGACCTGTGCCCAAATGTGTGGTGTCTGTAAGTATCTGAAAACTGTTAAGAAAAAATATATTTTAGAAAAAGACAATTATTAAGGTAAATTCTAGATAACCTCGTTCATGTAGTGGTCATTTCATTGTTTAGATTGAGATTCTAAAGTTAGAAACAGATCGCCAGTCAGAAACCGATCCCCAGTCAGAATCAGATGTCAAGTTAGTCATATCTTCAGTCAGAATCAGTATCTACCTTAGTCAGAAATATCGTAAATATGTCCGTCGATCCTATCTCAAATTTGATACCTTATTTTGAGGTTCTAAAGATCACCAAAGTATTTAAAGATTCAATAATTTCTATATTTCAATACTCTTGATCCTCTCCCAATTAGTAGAGGTCATCTTATCTCGAGCTAAATGTACCTCTAATTATTATTATACGTCTAAATAATAAGATTAGACTAAAAGTTTAATTAATACCTAAGTTATCGGAACAACAGGTAAACGTGTAATAAACCCCGAATTTAAATATCATCACATTCTACGTTTCAAAATCCGGTATTCTTGACATTCGACGTTGAAATATTTTCCTTGAAAATACAGGTAAAATATTGGAATTGTGTTTTGTAATCGATTCTCGATTATTTAAAGACCTTGTGTGTCACACTAGTGACAAAGAAATACTTTATTTTTAATGAATTAAATTGTTTAAACGTCATGATGTGACCTTAGAGAGATCTGACGTGGGTGTCTGAGTAGTCTGGGATTTACTAAGTGATCTCATTGCGTTAAGACCTAGAATATCGATCACAATGTAAATAGGTTAGTCAACTATTTCGATCAGGTTAAATGAGTAATTTAAGTATGTCAAGTTTAATTCTATGTCCTTGTTCGATTGAGATAGGGTAAAATAGTATTGGAATTTAAAGTTACTGAAATAAATGGATTCTTAACATAGCTACGCTACTTTATGAATATTCACAATTAGTTAGTGTATTGAGTTGTTTGTTTTGTAAGTTCTACTAAAAATGCATTAGATATTATAAACAAATCTACTGACTGATGAAGCATCCCGTTAGTTTACAAACAGTTATTATTAGGCTTTCATAGTTATACAGGCAAGCTAATAGTAAATATTATGTTATAAGCAATTTGTGTATGGTTTAAGTACTATATACTTAAACCAGACACAAATTACAAGTTCAAGTCATTTTCATATCAATCAATAGTTATGACCACAAACATATAACGTTAATTACATATGACCATTATAGTAAAACGACCAATTGTTGCCTAGCATACAATAATAATAAGGAAAATATATGGAAAGATATCTAAGTAGCAAATTAATAGTATGTTATGAAGTAGGTACTACATGACATAGACGAAACATTTAAACTAATAGCTTCTACTAGTTATAAATGTTTTCCTATTTGTAAATTATAATTATACCTAAGGATAATAATATTGCAGTGTAATATAAAGCTTCTCATTCCTTATAGAGTTGGGCAGAACTGTGTAGAATACGTTTTCTCTTTGTGTAGGTAGATGCATTTTTTTTTTGTTAAAAAAATATACATGTCCTTTAATTTCAATCATTACGTATCTCAATCGTATAAGTTCGTCCCGTAGCATTAGGCTATACTATAACTAATCAATATTCTAGAAAACTTCATCACAGAAAAATACATTATATTATGTTCCTACAAACTACATATTTGTATTTTACATAACTTTGTATAAGTACAAGAAACACCATTAAAATAGTATTGAATCCCATCAGCATAGGATAATTGACTGTTTATATTTTTAACATATATTTTTCTTTAATTTCAGCTGTCAACCTCCAGAGATCATCGCCCTGTCCCACCCCGCCACCGACCGTCGACGGCGTCCCCCAAACCAATTAATTTATTATTTTAATTTAATAATAGGACTGAATAAATTATAATATAAATATTTTTGACATATAATCTATTGTTTTATTTTCATATTCTACTGAACATTCGAAAGCTCAGGAAGAAATATTTTTTTCTAACATTGAACAAAACACGACATCACGCCTTTTATCCCCGAAGGGGTAGACAGAGGTTCACACTACGGCACTTAATGCCACTGCCACTCTATGTAATACTCACTTTTCACTATTTATGTTATGAGTCCCATGTAATAGAGGGTGAGCCTTTTGTCATATACCGGGCAAAATTCCAGACTCCGTGCTGCTACTGAGAATTATTTCTATATCCTGAAAGCAGTTTCTCATTTCCTGGACGATATAAAGTCGAAATCTTAACGAAGTACTCTATTAACCTGTCGTGTGTCTAAACGTGGATTAACGCGAGACACGATGTATTTTCTATTGTGTCTTATATACAGGCAATCAAGCGCTTAAGTATTTTATTGTGCCTAGTAACGTAACTCTTATAAAAAAAATGGTAAATAATATGATAGTATGACTGCTTCACAAAAAAATTATATTAATTAAGTTGTATGTTATGTATCTAACCAATAATATAGTATGTATTTCACGCTTTATATTACCAGTCCAAATGACCCCTAATCTAAACGTTGGGTCCATCAATTTCATTGCTTTAGCGTAAAATAATAAGTTCATGTTTTTTTTTTATCATAGAATTATTTCTCCCGCCTACATGAGGCGAGAGGGAGTGGCAGACTCCTACTGACTAAAAACCATCCCGTTCCTACGCCTGCTTTTTGAGCCGGAGCACCGGCAATCCGTTAAGTCCTCCGCAGCTCCGTATCGGCATTAGCCCTATTGGGCCACATCCATTTTTTTAATTTTTTTTTTAAGGGGGGAATATCATCGACTGACTGCTCCCGCCTGGGTGAGGCGGAAGGGAGTGTCAGACTCTTACTGACTAAAAACCACCCCGTTCCTTCTCCTGCACGTCGAGCCGGAGCCCCGGTTACCCGTTAGGTTCTCCGCGACTCCGAATCGGCAACAGCCCTACTGGGCCCCATCTGTGGTGGTCTAATGGCTCTTTGAGGCGCGCGCGGAACGCGACGCACCGTACGCTCGGGTCTCTTTCTGGTCGGACGGGGAGTTACCCATGCTCGCCGTCCGCAGTCCCGTGCTCACGGTGGCCAGAGATCGTCCCGCGATCCCCGACGCCCGGTGTGTCCTTCGCGATGGCTGGGTTGTGAGGAGGCAGCGCTTCGCTGCCTCACGCGTCGGTGCTCAGCCCACGCAGGGCATTCTCCCACTGTGTGTTCCACCGTGTCCTCAGGGCGGTCCTCGCAGTGATGACACCCGGGCGTTTCCTCCCGCCCCATCAGACACAGGTACCTCCCGAAACTTCCATGTCCGGTGAGGACCTGCGTCAGGCGGTAGGTGAGGACGCCGTAGCGTCTCTCAAGCCACTCCTCAAAGAGGAGACTTACCCCTGCAATGGCAGCGAGCCCACAGGGCCACATTCATAGCCCTATCTTTTTTCCATTATCCACAATAGTTCTACACTAACCGGGGACTGTCCTTGGTTGCATTTCCATAGTGCATACAGGGATAGTCGCCGGTTTGTGTGTCTATTACAGTTAGATTAATGTTGTCTAAAGGGCCTCTGCGCAGTTGGCTTCGGCTCGGCCCCTCGTACGCCTCCCAAATGACCGAGACCTTGTGGTCCCGTGAATGGTTAAGACACACAATAATATTAACCAACAACACCTGAGTGGGCTAGCGTTAGATGGTTGGGTCAAGGGCCTGATCCAGAAAGCAGTACTTCTGGATACGGCGCGTATTGTCCGGAAATTCCTCTGTCTGGAACCCTGACCACCGGTAGCTTGGATTTCTCTCGTTACTGCTGGGATACTAGTTTTTTAAATGTTTAAGTGTTTTTTTTATAATCAAATGTTTAAAGATATATGAGTCAAGTGTAGAAATAAATAAAGGAAATTAAACAATTCAAAGAGCTGATTGTGATCGCATTAGCCCACTCATTCGAGAAATACTTTCTTGATAACTTAATTTTATTATTCAAATACCAAATAACCCTTTCTTACTTTATTCTGTATGATTTAAACGAAGCTAAAATATTATGCGAGTATCGTTGTAGATGGCGCTCTGTATCTCTGATTTCGCTTATGTTTGATTTTGGTACAAAGGTGTGGTTCTATGTTTATATAGGCGTATGCAAAATGCAAAATGCAAAATGTTAAGGGCGACAGCAAAGAAGTATAATTTAGATGGGTACCTGCATACTAGGAATAAGATTGTCATTAACATAATACTAAATGGGATATAATACGACTATTCGTATTTCTATTTATAGGTAGTTATGGCCAACTGCATCGTTGGCCGAGTGTAATGTGCATCTCTGCCTACCCCTTCGGGGATTTAAATACACTTTGCTAAGAATAGGAGTTTAATACAGGTCTTTTTTGTTAGTATGAAAAATACATGTTTTTGAAAACCCTTTTCAGTAAAAGATCCTGAAGGCTGACAGCTCGACTGACATGTTACTTGTTCACGTGTTATTTTCGGGCTGTGGCTTCGAATCCCAGACTAAATAATTAATTGCGGGGTTTGAGTTCATTGATAATTCTAAATTTTTAAATGTGGCATCACAAATGGCTATAGGCGAAGTTATGATCAAAGTCAAAGTCAAAATCATTTCAATTAGACCAGGAAGGTACTTTTGAAAGTCAAAACGAAATATTGAAATATTAAAGAAAAAATGTCAGTCTGTCAGTCTATTTCGTTATTATATTAGTTTATATAATCGATCGCTATACAAAATATATTATCAAGTTATATCTTATAGCAACCGAGTCTCAATCAGTCGAGGAGTTATATCAGGTGTATTTTTTTAAATCTATCGAAACAGAACAGAACTTGTAAAGACATCGCATGGATTTTTGGTATCAATTTTTTTATGGAATAGGAGGCAAACGAGCAGACGGATCACCTGATGGTAAGCGATCAGCGCCGCCCATGGACACCCGCAGCACTAGAGGAGTCACAGGTGCGTTGCCGGCCTTTTAAAAAGGAGTATGGTGTACGCATCGTTTGCTTTTGATTTATCAACCAACGCAGGCGTTGCAATAAAACGAAATTAAACGCAAGGTAGAATAAAAATAATTTCTAAAACAAACTGGAAACACGTACAAACATAATTTTATTTTTTACCTTGTACCTTCGTAATTTGTTTAATATTACACCTTCCACTGTCCACATTTAAAATACCTTAAACTTTTATGTTTTTCCCAAAATGAGGTAAACGATTAGCCTAAAGCTAAAAATATTGTAAGTATGACAGCCAAACATGGTGTCTCGAATTTAATGCCCGAATTGAAATACACAGTTTACACATAATTTGATCTATTTGAGAAATATTTATGATAATATTAGGTGTGACATTATTGACATTAATGTGTGACTTTCGTGTAAAGTTGACGTTTACAGAATATTGTGTGTGACATTTATGACATTTCTGGTTAATTTTGTAACATTTTTCTCTATTACATAATTCTCTTTTAATATTAATTTTCTTGGAGATAGCCTTATAACAAAATTTTGCCAAGTTTGTACAGTACCTACATTATTTTTGCACGGCGATGTTGAAGGCAAAATAAGAGGACCTAAGTTATTATAAAATGACAACTATCCGTACCTACTTTATTTACGTAAATAAATACTTTTTGAATTTGAAAACGCTCTCCTAATTTGTAAATGATGAGAGGGTATGAAATTTTAAAATCTAATTAGTCCGTCAATTAGGTAATGAAAAAATACTAGACACGTATTTTGTTGTTTTGTCGTATTAGAAAACAATACCTAAGTATTATAAAGTTTTATATTATAAAGTATTATAAAGTAAATATAAAGTTTAGAGTATAACGTCATGCGATATTTCAAATCAACATATCTTCGAAACTATTCGTTTCCGTAAGAAAATATAAAATAAGTGTCCAATGGTTTTAAATAATCTACCAGACGGACATTAAAATAAAAATTAGTCATCTACCCTATTGTAAAAAAAATATCGTTTTGATTATTTTTCTATGATAACTAGTATAATAAATCAGTGCCAAAAGCCACTTTAGCGATTGTCTACAGAGAGAGAAGAAAACTAAATGTATGGAGATATGGATATGTATGGAGAGAGACACTGACAAGTGTCAAAACTTACGTCAATTCCATATAATTTAGTTTTCTATTCTACAAGTAGACAAGCGCTAAATGACATTTGGCTACAGCTGCAGGTTACCAGCTTGACTTTAGGATTACATTAGTGTGTCTACATGGATACGAATCCAGAAAAAAATCAGTTCATAGATAATTTTTGATTTCGAAAATTCATGCTTGAGTTTTTATGTTATAATCTATACCATTATTTAATTGAGGTAATTAATCTTTTCTCTCCAAGATTTTGAGACCTTAAAACAAAAGGCGATCTATCCAGACAAGCAAAAAAATGTTACAATCGCTGTTACATGTGATGATTCATACGAAATTACGAACACACATTAAGATTTTAAAATGGCGCGTTGCATTTTGTTTTATTTCGCGCGAATATAAAATAAAATATGGTCACTACTCGTTCAAGTGACTAATAAATGTTAAAATTAAGTTAACTTGTTGGTACCGGATACCGGTATGGGAAACCCGACTGGCTGTATACTGAAGGTTATGCACTTGGGTTCACCGGCATCCATTTATAGATTTTGATGAAATTCCTATTGAGTTAGTGAGTAATCATGTTTTACATGGTTATAAGGTCAAATTACTAGCATTTGTAATGAACTGTTTAAAAGGAATTATGCGGCTATGTATTCATTGATTAGAAATGTTATACAGATACGATATTATTATGTAAATAAATATATTTCTTTATACATTTGAGTGATCGACGTTTGCCACTATCTTGTTGGTGAGTGATGATGTGACCTACGATGGAGCACCTCATAAGCAACCTATTCACTCGGGCCGTGAAGATACCCAGGTCATACCACATCACACCCTGCAGGAAACACAGACTATGGCAAAGAATTCCACTCCTTAGCAGTTCGGTAATAATGAGAATGTCCTTCAAAGGAACTATAATAGATCAGATCATTATAAGCAGTGTTAAAGACAATAAGGAACAATGTGTAACATTGTGTGGCCGAGTGGTCGCAAGTGCGACTGCCGGGCAAGGGGTCTCGGGTTCGATTCCCGGGTCGGACATAGTATTACTGGGTTTTTAGTTCTCCGTAGTAGCACGGAGTCTGGAATTGTGCCCAGTAAATTGCAATAGGCTCACCCCCTATTACATGGGACTCATAACAGAAATAGTGAAAAGTGGGTGTTACATTGTAAGTACTTACAGTGGCATAATGTGCCACTGCCTCTGCCTACCCCTTCGGGGTTAAAAGGCGTGATGTTATGTAACCATAGAGTGGTTGCCTATGTTCAGAAGAGGACGTCTTTTGGCTGAAATTATGATGATAATAGGATAGATAGTGGTTCTTGTGGAGATCACGTAACGGGTAAGTATTTCTATAATGTAAGTAGGTTCATACCTTATAATATTAATTTACGAAGTACCTGTAAATGACACAAGTAAATGAAAAAAAGTTTTAAATTTGGAAGTAAAAATGGAACAAAAGTTCATAACGGTATATAACATAAATCGCAGAATCGCAGGTAACACAAACATCAAAGGTTTATTCAGTTTTTTTAAGGTTTCAATTCAGTGATATACTAAAACAACAACCGGTAACCACCATAAGGTTAATATACCGCTAACAATACAAAGAAATAAAACAGTACAGTATCTTTTGCTGACATTTTTTGATTCGTTTTGGAACAAAAATCGTAAAAATCAGAACAACGGGCAAACCCACTCACACTGAACTTATCCAAAGAAAAAATTTACATATTGCCTGGATCGGAATCGGCCTACTGCGCTGAGTAGATGCGCGCTCATCGAAAAAGCAAAAAAATAAAATGGGTTCTGTGTAGATTTCAGATAACCCTTCGCTGTTTAGTCTAAATTTATGGTCAAAATACTTCCTTGACCTGTGCGGAATAGCGGTCACTACAATGTTAAAGCCGGTTCCATATATTGGACCAAATGTCATCAAAAATTGTTTCACCAATTCACCTTGGCCAATGTTTGCAGTAAGAATAATTGAGCATTGGCCCCACCATTTGGGGTGATTATTTTCCTACAGAAGTTAAGGAGCTAGGTTTTGCATGATGGTTTTAGCCGTGTATGCATAACCGACAGGCAAGCCTTAGCGTCTATTGGCCTCCTTAAGACGAGAGCTGTGCGTTCCAACGTTTGAAAAAACTTGTAAAGTAATTGCTTGTAACTCGTTGACATCACATGTTTAGTGGGTATATGTATTTAACTTGAAAACTACAAACCTTCGTTAATAAATAAAGATTAAAAAGAAAAAAAAAAACTTGGAAACTACTCAACAGATTTAGGTGTAACTTGATACATCTATTATGTACTATGAGCGATTATCATTTGTTCGTTGGTATTCGGTATTTGGCATAAGTATTTTTTTTTGTGATAAGGCCAGGTACATATCTGGACATGATTTACACATGTATGGCGACCCTTGACAAACAGTTCACGTATATTAATAAAACGTTTAAATTCAATGGCCGTAAAATGCGTTTTAATTATCAATTGATCTTAATGAGGCGAATCTAATTAAAAATTTATTGAAACTAAAGTTTAATTTTATTTGCATTAGGTTTAATATGCAAATCCAATTATTTTCTACGTTGTCAGTACTAATACCCACTAATATAATAATACTTATTGCACTTCTCCCTTCATTGTGATGACGTGACAGTCTACCGGTAGACTAAAGAAATCCTGCACATAAGAGGGTTTGCCATCATCTATATGTCTTGTATGCAAAATGGAGACCGAACTTCTACTACATTATATCACATTTATTTATACGGTGCCATTTTGATAACAAAGATAAAGCGGACTTACAAATATCCAATTATCCATTACATGACTTGGAGGTATCTAACCCAATTAAAAATTTTGAAAAATATGTTCAAAAAGGTTTTAATTAACTGATACAGGGTTGATGACTTTTGGAAGAAATGGTTTAATTGAGGAAAATGTTATATTAATTGATGCTACATTTACTAAGGTACATAATTAATGTTTTCATGAAAAAATTAAACCGTTGTTTGCCGGAACGTATACTTAAACTTTAGAAAATGTAGTCGCGGAGAATCTAACAAGTAACAGGTAACCGGGGCTCCGGCTCGACGTGCAGGAGAAGGAACGGGGTGGTTTTTAGTCAGTAAGAGTCTGACACTCCCTCCCGCCTCACCCAGGCGGGAGCAGTCATTCGATGATTTTCCCCCCTTAAAAATCTGTGCCGTTTTTACATCTTAAATTGATATATCAAAGATTAATTTTACAGGTATTTGTTTTATATCTATGAATGAATATTGCACATATTAGAAGATTTTTTATGAAACAATGCGTTTGAAAGTAGTTACTTCTTTAGTATGTTACTTCTTTTCCATATTTTTTTTTGTCGGTGAACGAATAAAAGTTTGCAAACGTTTGGAGACAAAACGCTGTATTTTTGAAGTATGCTTATAAAGACAATTTTTTCTTGGCGACACAGGTAATTTTCGGGAACCTCCTGAATTCATCACTTTGTTTAAAGCAAGGAAAACCGTAAGATTCCATCTAATAAAAAAAGTGATATCACCAACCGGTATAATTTCTGATGGTACTGAATGGTATTGGTAAATGCAATTCAGGGATATTCAGAGACATCTGCTTTTTAGGTGTCAGCGAGGAAATCCACTGAGTTCTTTTGATTTAGGAACTGAGCAGGTTTATTGATAAAGGTTTCTCGACCGCGTTTTTAATTTTGTAATATTAATCAAATTCGTGGTAACAGAAATTGTAAAAATGAAATTGTTATTCTATGCGTTAACATTGGACAATGGATTTCGCCTTGTGAAAAAATTAGACCTAGTGTATATCATCTAATATTGAGAATAGTTTTAATCTTAGTAACAGAAGTCGCAGGTAAAGGGTAGTAGTAAAAATATAATACCTTTTTTAGTAAAACTGTCAATGCACCTATTTAAAAAAGCTGCAATAGAACTGGTTGATGTCATTAGTGCGTTGAAAACTCGCGAGTTGAGTCCTACACTTTGTTTTTTTTTAAACCTGTTGAAACATCATATAATCAAAGTTTTTACATTGTGTCTCCTTTGAGTTTACGACTTTAAGTGGCGAGTGACGGACGGACATCATAAATCCGCGGAATAATTTATAAAATACTCCATATCAAACATAGAATAATTTAAGTAGTGATAATTAAATTGACATTTATTACATTTGACACAAGAATAATTTTTGATTGACCGTAAACTTAGAATTTGTGGATGAAATTGTTACCTAGACTGATAAATTAATTAATTTGAATTAAATGTTTTGATTGGTTATTAATATTTAACGAAAATGATACAAGATGAAAACGGGTTGTAAGAGGAAAATGGAGAGGGGATTTGTTTAAAGAACAAAATATGATCGCACGTGTTTTGAAGACACAGCTCATTTTGTGAATCGACCTCGAATTGGGTGACTGTGTTTAGCATTTAGTATTATAAGACTTATTTACAATAACTACATAGTGCCACAGAGGAAAAAATGAAGACGTTTTTGTATATAGGTAAGTCATTTCTTGTTATATTTTCGTGCAATCTCAACATTATTGGTAGTATCTATGCTTAAAAACCGGAACCTAATTAAAAATAAAATAGACATTCAAGGATGGTCAAGTTTTTAGATACATACTTATTTGTGATTTACCTGTTATGATTTCTTATTAATCAAACGTGCATAGCAATTTGAATCATACGTTTTAATACTTTAGGACTGACTATCGTGTAATTACTAATAATCCGATATGGGTTACTATTGTTCAGTGTTTTATAGTATGTATGTAGGTACTACTTTTATATAATGTTTTATAATAGCAGCTAGAGAATCTTAATTACTAAACCTGATTGTACAGTACAGGTAATTACAGATGACCACTGAGGGTAACTGACCTACCTCCATATTATTTTCTTGCAGTTAAAAATAGTTACGTCATTTTCTCACATGTTTGCATTTGCAGTAGACGTTTTTATACCCTCGCTTTATATTTATAGTCGTAACTCGTTTGTTTTTGTAAGTTTTATTACATTACCTATACAGGGTGTAAATCGAACACTCCCAAAACGCTGGCAAAACGAAATTGTTTTTATAAATTTAATGGTTTTTTATCTTGCTATTCATGCAACATCAGCCTTGAGCAGTTGATTACAATTATTATTACATAAAAGTAACAAAGTACAAGAAAATAAAATTAGTTTTCACCTGCCGGAATTTTTTACACTCTGTATATTAAGATTTTCGGTTTTAATTGGTATTTGAAGGAATATCGTAAGCGATTACACTCCCTAGTAATTTAACTCGTCGAGTACCGTCATTACAGACACAATTATAGAACAATAGGTTGCGGTCACCGGTGACCGCTTGGTGTTTGATAGTTTAAGATGTGGTTTATCATTCACTAACCTATTTATATTAACGTTAGATAAATAAAGGCTTCTTTGAAGATTGGTCGATGAAACACAATAACAAAGAAACCTTATAAAACATAAAATCTTCCGAGAATATTTATGCACTTTGGCTTTACCGGCAAATGTCATAATTTGCGGTCAATGTCACCTATAAATTGAATAACTATTGATGCACACATCAACTAAGATATAGCTAAGATCACGGAAAAACCTATATTGATGAAATAGAATATATATTATCATATTTATTAATAAGTTCTATATATATTAATAAATTTAAATCCTATGTTTTTAATATAACTTGATATACGAAGGTAGCCTGAGGTTTTACTGGAAGGATCTTTTGTCTACCTATACAACACCACGTCTTTTAATAAGCGTTAATAGGTAGGCAGAGATACAATGCATACTAACAATGTAACACCCACTTTTCACTATTTATGTCTTAAGATTTAAGTAACGGGAGCTGAACCTGATTTTTTATTTTTTATGGTATAAGTCGGTATACGAGCAGACGGATCACCTGATGGTAAGCAATCGGCGTCGCCCAAGAACATCTGTTGCTAAACACTAGAAAATCCCAAAAATACGTTATTCGACTTAGGTACTGAATCTTTTTAGGCAGTAAGGATTCTCGTTCAGAGAATTAAACACCGTGATGTTACGTGTTAAAGAAAATACAATTATGTAATGCATTGTCCATTGATTCTATCTGGTGCATCTGATTTTAATATAGATATATTATTAGTTCCGCCTTTCTTATTAATAATTGTGTTTTGACCTTCTTTCATAATAATATTTAAGCATACAATTTTTTTATTAATAGGGGGTAGTCACATGTTTTTATATTTGATGGGACGACGTTTGACCGCTATCTTGCCTGGTGGTAAGCGAATGGCAAAGAAATTTCACTCCTTAGCAGTACGGTTAAGGAAGACATTTGTTGTCGAAGAACCGATGACTGTTGGGGTCACTTGGGAAAGACGTGTTCTGGAGGTAGACCGCGTCTAGGCAAACGTAGTGTAGGGCGCCCTCCAGCTAGGTGGAGTGACGGTATCCGCAAAGTGGCTGGTAGTGGTTGGAAGCGTAGAGATGGTGATCGAGCTGACACTCCCTCCCGCCTCACCCAGGCGGAAGCAGTCATTCGATGATTTTCGAACATTAAAAAACAAACTACCTACTTAATAGTATTTTAAATAACAAACAAACAAACACACAATTATTATTAACAAATAAACAATCTTTCTTTCTTTCTTTCTTTAACTAAGATAGTACCCTCAAAATAACGTATGGCCGTTTTAACGTTGTTCTAATCATTTAAATAATGGAGTTGCAAAATTTTTCTGTTCTGTTTTCTCTTTTTTGTTTTGTAGATCTTAACTAAAAGTTAGTGCTGAAAAATTATACCCATGTTCTTAAATGTAATGTAATATAACAGTGGCGCGCCATTGGAGAGGCCTATGTCGCTGTTGATGAGGGGGTAGTCTATAATGTGACTGTACTTCGATATGTTTTATTGGTGACTAGCTTCTTCCGCGCGTTTTACTCGTTCTGCTCGGCACTTTACCATTGATCAAACCCTGATCTTTTATAGCCTTAACAAATGCACTTTTGCACAAGAAGAATTATTCAAATCGGACAAGTGGTTCCGTAGATTATTGCGTTCAAACAAATTATCGAACTTCAGCTTTATATAATAAAGTAACAAAAAGTGTGTCTGTACTTGAGGGTACCTATAAGTATGCGAATAAGTCTCAGTATATATTTGACATTCAATACGAGTATATTATTATATGGCAGGCTTTAAATCGAAGTACGGTTATAGAGGTATTATTGTAATGATATTCTTTACTTAGAACTAATGGTCAACGACTTGCATATGGCGTTTAGCCAAAGTGTGAATTGTGAATCAAATCTGTTGAGATCTTAATGGTCGAAATTATTTTTATACAAAATTCCATTCCATTCATTCATTCATTTGTGGACATCGGTTTCACAAAAGCTTTATAGCTGCCTACTTACCTACAATAAATGTCAAAATTCGTTCTTGGATCAAAATCCAGGGAAATGGATTCAGGTTGGTGATAAAAGTAGATTATAAGTGGTTTTAAAATCTACACTTATAGCCTATTTTTAAAACGAATCTAAATTCATAATGACAGGATTGATCTGACAAAAACTCAATACAATCTACTACATCGCTGATAATTATAACAATAATTATCAGCGATAGTTTTAGTTATTCTGTAGTTACAGGTGCCAATAGATTAAAATACCCCATTCTATCTTTTAATCAATTTTCTACCTTATGACTTTACAATAAAGTAGCTTCTAGTCTATTGGTATCTGTACTTCAAACGTTCTAGTTGTATTTTGTTCCATCACTAGCACATGGGGATCGCAAGTTGTCTTCGAATTATATTTTGCACGATGCATCGATCGTGTTGCATTTGTTAACTTGTGACCAAAGTGAAGCCCGATCATGTATCTTGTGATTTATAAATGCCTTCGGTACATCATCATCTTCATCACCAGCGTCATCATTATCACAAATATTATCGTCATCGCCATTATCAAACAGAAAACTGCTTCAAACTTTCAAACTAATTTCAGGTTACAAAAAAAGAAACACTACCTACTAAACATTTTCTTTACTTTTGGTGTGTAGTTAAACATGATTTTAAGATATTTGTGTAATAGGGTAGTTTCCAGGGTAAGAAAATTAAAAATCTAATTAGTCCGTCAGTTAGATAATGAAAAAATATTAGACACGTAATTTTTTATTTACAATACTTAGATAAAATGGAGTTCAGTTTAGGAGTGGGAGGTAGTTACGTCACGACGTGCTACATTTTGTAGCACGCTGTGACATCACACGACATTTCAAATCAATATATCGTCGAAAGCATTTAATTTATTGAGAAAAGAAAAAATACGTGTCTAATGTTTTAAAATAATCTACCCGACAGACATTATAATAAAAATTAGAAAACTACCCTATTACAATCAATTGTCTTGATTCATGTAATTAATTATGACACTGCAATAATAATGTGATCAGCGATAGTGAATTGTAAGAAATTAAAAGTATAGAGATTAATCTCGCACTGTTATGGCGCAACACAATGTGTCCTTTGTAATTTGCATCCAATTGAACCATGAAAATTTGCGTTTAACAGTAAAAAATATGTTATGTATTAGCTAGAATACTTACTATACTCGTACTATACGACTATGCAAGGTGTTATATATTAAGCATAAATGCGAAATTGTGTTGGCTAAACGGACTTATTCGTCTTCTATTCTTTCTTTATTTACAAAGAAACTATTTACAACTTGTCTTATATTTTATGTATGTCTTCAGATTTAATATTCATATATCTAATCTGAAGAGTTCTTTGTGAATTTGAAAGACAAAGTCGTATTTATTTATGAACTATAGAAATAGGGATTGATTGATTAAAGTATACCACCTAAATGTAGGTAGTTGAATATCTTTAAAGTTTTATGTTACACCTACCTACTTGTCGCGGAGAACCTAATGGGTTACCGGGGCTCCGGTTCGACGTGCAGGAGAAGGAACGGGGTGGTTTTTAGTCAGTAAGAATCTGACACTCCCTCCCGCCTCACCCAGGCGAGAGCAGTCATTCGATGATTTTCGAACATTAAAAAAAAACTACCTACTTAATACACTCAAAATAACGTATGACCGTCTTTACGTTGTTCTAATCATTCAAATAATGGAGTTGCAAAATTTTACTGTTCTGCTTTTCTCTTTTTTGTTTTGTAGATCTTAACTAAAAGTTAGTGCTGAAAAATTATACCCATGTTCTTGAATGTAATGTTATGTTAACATAACACAACGTCTTTTATCTCCGAATGCGTGCACTGTACAATGTAACACCCACTTTTCACTATTTATGTTACGAGTCCCATGTGCCTGTTGGGGGCGAGCCTATTGCCATATACCGGGCACAATTCCAGACTCCGTGCTACAACTGATTTTTAATACTTTGCCTGACCCGAGAATCGAACCCAAGACCCCTTGCCCGGTAGTCGCACTTCCGAACACTTGGCTAACGAGGCAGTCATGTTGCATGTAAAGTTATAATTTTTAGCCTGAATCCTTTCTGCAACCTAAACTAAATTCCATATGTAGACCCAGATGAAGGAAGTTCACCATCATCGACTTAACTCGTCGAGTACCGGTTTTGCAGACACAATTATAGAACAATAGGTTGCGGTCACCGGTGACCGCTTGGTGTTTGACAGTTTAATGAAGGAATTATGTTGAGAATTATTAATTTAATTTGTTTGTTAATTAATTGTGTAACCACAATTACTATTTTTTAATTCTTAGTCTGCAGACTAGCAAAACTTTAGAAAACTTAAATTTTTCATCTGATCACTGCTGCACATATTTGAATGTGAATTTGTCAATTTAATATAAGCACCTGACTAAGTTGAGTTATGATTTTCAGCGTTTGCAGTATTAGGGCTGGTAGTCGTAGAAAGTTACGGTCCAGGGGGTGGTGGCGGAGGTCCCGGACGAGGTTGGGGTCATAGAGGACATGGCGGCCCTTGGGGCCCTGGGGGACCTGGCGGCCCTTGGGGCCCTGGAGGTCATCCCGGTCCGTGGGGACACGGCGGTCCTCACGGTCATCCGTGGGGTCATGGACCTGGAGGACCTCACGGCCATGGACATATGTGGGGAGATTCCGATGAAAATCATAGTGGACCCGATGATTCTAGTGAAGATAGCTTCGAAAAATATGATCCAGACGATAATTGGCACAAACCTTGTAAAGGATCAAGGTAAATGTATTTGTTAACTGACAACATTCTTATACCATCGAGCCTTCATTAATTTTGGACTTAAATAATCCACTCTTTTACAACAACGACACATCAGCAAAGCATCATCATCATGTAAATATCCCCATGCTTGCCAATAGCAGGAACCCTCGGTATTTTAAAATGCCTCATCAACTTCACAAGCTATTAAGATAACTACATTGTCGTTAATTAATTGGATCACACAATAAGCATTACTAATTACTACTTCAATAATGTTATTATAGCAAAAAATGTGACGTCATCGACATATTTCGAAAATGATTTTCGCTAAATTTCTAAAGAAGATGAAAATAACTTAGCAACATCCGTATCTCAATTTATAGAATTTACATTGCACTATAATAACAAAATGATATTTCTTGTACAGTTGCGGAAGACCAGACAAAACTACACAATCAACAACTGCACCAACAAAACCCACAACTGCACCTACTAAACCACCAACGGAACCAACAAAGTCACCAACAAAAGAACCGCCAATCACCACCTACCATCCTCCATTCACTTCACCAACAGAGCCACCAACCATACCTCCTGTGACCTCAGAAAAACCCCGTCCTACAAGAACTGTACCTTCAGAACCTACATGGCCAACTATGCATCCTGATCCTCACCCTCACCCTCATCCGCATCCATCTCCCACAAAAAAGGCTCCACCTGTATGGCCCACAACAGGCACCTGGCCCACAGGACCCACATGGCCCACACGGCCCACATGGGAGCCCACAACTGAAGTCATTCCTGAAACAACTACGGATGCAGAAGAAGTATTTACTACCTTATCACCAGAGATCGAAAGTTGCATAGAGTCCTGTCCCTCAACGCCTGAGTTTAATCCTGTCTGTGGTACTAATGGAGAAACATATCCTAATGAAGGAAAACTGTTCTGTGCTAAAAGCTGCGGAGTCAGTAAGTTGAAATTATAAATATTATAAAACAATTACAGACATGAAATAACTTGGAGGCACTCCTACATTTTACTAAAGTTATCATAACAACTTTCATATTCAGGAAATATTCAGTTATGCAGGTTCAACTCTTAATTCAGAGTAGGTACCCAGTTATCAGTTCTCTCGCATAAGCCGCTGTTGAGACTGTATGATACTGACTGCAGTCAAAATAATGTGCACTTAGTTTTCATGTGTATGAGTAAAAAAATATTAATAAGATTTTTGTATAAATTGAAAACTTGAATTTTAGGTTTATTTTTCTGTACCGATTAGGTTTCTGATACATGTCAGTTTAGAGAAATTTTTTAAATCAGAAAAAAGGACAGCTTTACTGACTAACAGCTGTTGATTAAAAATTGAACTTAGGTTATCATACCGCATAATAATAATACTTATGTGCTGACTGACAATACAATAATAATTTCTAATTTCAGACGTAGAGATAAGACGGAGATCTGCTTGCCCACCGCCCATCGATAATGGTTCGCCTCCTACCCAGGGGTCCACGGTTCGTCCTTCACCAACACCTCCCGTGGGCCGAACCACACCTTTCTCCGAATTCCAACATTGCATGAAGAGTTGTCGCATAACTTCGACATTCCAACCTGTTTGTGGTTCAGACCTAATAACTTACATGAACATAGATCGATTAAGATGCGCTCAAAATTGCGGTCAAGGTTAGACTTTTCTTTAATAAGTATTTCGTATATTTTCTTCGCTCTGAGAAATTTATTATCATTTTCCTTAAATTGCATTTTATTTAGTTTATTCTGTTAAGGTGCTCCTACACAGCAGTTTTATAACATTAGAGACTAAGTTAATATTTGTTTTTAAACAAATTACAACAAATTTGTAGTAGTATCTTGACATGTCGTAGAGTATGTTACAAATTGTTATCATGTTACACAATGTGATATAACGTTATACAACTACTGTGTGGGAGCACCTTAGCGAATGACTTTAACGTTAATTTAATACTGAATGTTTGTCTGCAGATGTCCAAGTTTTGTGTGACAAAGCGTGTATTGCTTGTGGTTTCGTGCCTAAAACGACGACAACAACGACGGTAAAACCAACAACATACCCACCACCAACAATTCCACCATCAACTAATCCACCACCAACAGTGCAACCACCAGTAACAAAGAATCCATGTGGTAGAGTCATTCCGGATCCAGATGTACACAGGTGTATTAAAAATTGTCCTTTAACACAAGAATTTAACCCTGTTTGTGGAACAAATGGCGTTACATTCAAGAATCCTGGATACTTGTTGTGTGCTCAAATGTGTGGAATTGGTAAGTAATTTTGTTACCTTCCTATAGCGTATTGTTTATACAGCAATTCTACTTATACTCTACTTCATATACTTAATTTTTATTTCAGATGTGTGGGCAGCTAAATTTGCTCCATGTACCTTAGAGCCAACACCTCAACCACCAACACCTCAGCCTCCAACACCTCAACCACCGACCCCTAAGCCACCAACGACGATTGAACCTCCACCAGTCACTCTGCCTCCTAATGTCGTGACTTGTATACCGAATTGCCCCGTAACATCTGAGTATGACCCAGTCTGCGGGACAGACGGTCTTACTTACACTAATATGGGAAATCTGGAGTGTTCTAAATATTGTGGTGTAGGTAAGTAAACAAGTTTTTTTTATCAAAAACAAGTTTAGTATTATATTCACTAAAGTAAAAATTTACATCTATTCGTCTTTTTTATGCGAGTTTCTTTGTTTTTTTTTTTTTTTTTTTTATCTTACATTTCTTATTCTCCACGGACTCTTGTCCGTGCCCTTGTCATTCCATTACATTTTCTTTTAATTTACAGTCAAAATTACTTGTTACAAAAATCTTACGTGCTACATTAACCACATTTTTTTTTTCACAAAGAAGGTTGTGTCTAAATCTAATATTTATATATACACAATACATGTTTTATTACATTTACATTAAACTTACTGGATCGGCCCACACGCGCGATGAGCGAGCCGACCTGCTCCAGCAGAAGGCGCCCGTTCACGAGCATGACGTGAGGGCCAGCAATCGATCCGATCAACCATTTCGTAGGGAACGGAGCGACCCAGTCCACAGCGCCACCGACTGTAGAACATTTAAGAATGCATGACGTCTGCTCACGCAGCAGTAAGCCGATTCCAGTAGTGCCAATGGATTTTGTCAGTCTTATTGATAAAATTTACATTACGTTACATTATATTTACTACATTTTAACATTATTAAACACACACAAATATAGAGGTATATTAATGTCACGCTTGCATCACAATTTAAGCTTACAGCGAGCCCTCCCCACCCAAAAGAGCGCCCACTACCGCCATGTCCCTGTTGCTGATAGCCATTTTCAAGTTATAGTCCAGGATCCCCCGCTCACTCTCACCCACCGCTCGTCTGATTAATTTGCTGATCGCGTCGTCACTGATATTCGTGTAGTAAACACAGCTGTTTGTGTGACGGGATATAGCTACCACGGCGTGCGATACACTGTCGTGTATCCGCTGTTTCTTCTCCGCTGTATTCACAACAACCACTGCCGCGTACGAAAGCCCCTGAGCCTCGTGTATTGTGAGTACGCGTGATCCCACACCCGATCCGTATCCCTGGTTTTTAAGGGATTCCTTTTCTACCTGAGTGTGTACCAGGTATAACGTGTTCGGAGGAGATTTGGGTATTCGCGACCCTGAGAAGCTTTTTAACTCAAGGGATCTCACACCCGACGCGGACGAATATATGCCACTGTACACAGTACTGAGAGCATATGCCACATCCATAGGGTTTCTGTGAGTGCAGAGAAGTTCTTGGCTAATAGCCGCGACGTGCGTAGGGCGGTTGTAAATGAGGGGGAAGAGGTTGTCTCGGTCAATGAAGGGAAGTTGATTTATGTCACCAATCAGCAGAACTTCCTTGGCCCGAGTTATTCGAGCCGCCATCACAATGGCCCCAAAGTGATTCATGAGAGCCTCATCAACCATGATTCGGTGGCAGCTCTCTTGCTCTTTTAATCCGTTCACTAAAATGGATGCCATTGTTCGGACTTTGGATTTGACTAATCCTCCGATTCGGCAGGATAGTTTGCCTCTGAGGTCATTTGCTGCTTCAGTTGTTGTGGTGAGTTTCTTTGTTTGGTTCACTAACTTATATATCTTTGTTACAGACGTGAGATTTAAATATAAATCCAGATGTTCCGACGAATTTGATCTCCGACCTACCACTCCTGAGGTTGATGGCAATAAGGAGGTGACTCAAACTTGGAAAACAGAACCGACCACCAATACTCCGCCAGTCACTCCCAAATGGTCTACAACGCTAGGTTTTACCATTCCACCCGATGTACTAGATGACATATTTGGAACAAAAAAACCACATACAACTAAGAATCCTGACGATGAAGATGAAGATCTCGATTTAGATTCTAGGTTTGGTCCAGGCCATGAAATTATATCAGATAAGTTTGAAACGGATAAATCTGGCAAAGTTGAATCTAACAAAGATGAGACTGACAAAAATAAAGTTGACAAAGATAAATTAGAAACAGATAAGCCTGACCAAGATAAGTCTGACAAAGAAAAAGAACAAGGCAGAAGCAGTAGTAATATAACATTCCCCGAATAAAGACTAATTAGACTTAAAACGCATTTTTATTTAAACCATTAAGGATATTGCAATAATACCCGCATTAAATTTTAATTAACTTATGGTGTCATTTGTGAAATTAATGCAAATTATTTCTAATTGTACATCATTAGTATCTATATAAATTGAAAGGGCAGTATTAGGTTTATCAGTTCTGAATTTACTCTACTGGAGTCCTTACCTTCTCTTAATTTTAAACATATTTGAAAAAATGGTTGGTGACGTGTTATTTTACAGTGTTGCACTCGCATCGATTATTGGATTATCGTCAGCTTATAAAAGTAAGTTTTCTTTTTTGTGTACTATTTCAACTGCATCATTGATTGCGTTATAAGCTTTAATATATTACTTATTTTGTTCTAAAATTCTTTCTTGTATTACAGTATCATTCAGAAGACCATGCAGAGACCTATCACCAGAATGTTTAAGGAAAACAGTGCAAGCAGCCTTACCGACCATTGCCGATGGAATCCCTGACTTAGGCATCGAGTCTTTGGATCCTTACGAACTGAAGAAGCTACAATTGAAACTACCTGGTGGTCTCAACATAGCCTTTAGCAATGGGTACGCTAAAGGATTGAAGACATGCAATGTGGATTATGCAAGGTGAGAATTTCTGTACCATTCGATGTAAAAGTTTTTAAATCTATTTTATTTCAAAGCATTTGCTTCTTAAAGGATGTGCATATTGGTGCAAAACTGGAATTTTATACAACATTGTCAGTTTTTAACTTTATTTCTAAAATTGCTGCACAATTAATTGGCGATGACTAATAATTCTCTTTATAAACTTTGTGTAATCGGATGAATTCAACGCTTAATTTTTAGTTTATTTTTTGCTACTATATCCGTCTAAGATACATTTCATAAAGTTCAACGATATCCTGAGCTGATGGTTTATTTATTAATTGTATTTACAGCTATGGAGGAGGTTTATTTGAGACTCAGATGCATTGTAATCTGACTATCAAAGGAAAGTACAGATCTTCTGGAAGACTTCTATTGTTCCCCATAAATGGAGATGGAGATTCCGTTATTAAGTGCAGTAAGTATCACCAAACCTATATTTCTATGATTTCAATTATTTCGTTATGTGTACCTATGTCTGCCTCAATTTCAAAATTGAAAACGTTAACTGACATTAATTTCGATTAAATTTTAAAATCAAATTAAAACTAACTATGATTTACCAAACATTTATAAACAGTTAATCGTTCTACTCTTTGTTAATTTGTTACAAACATTATCATATGAAACAATACTAAAATTATGCATGAAGTTTTTTCCTCAATTAGCAACCTTTGTTAATTTTATACCCATACATTTTAGGAAACCTTAAACTGCATAGTCTTTTACAACTGGGGTCAGTTGTAAGGTCAGACGGACGTCGGTACTTCGATATCAAGGATTCCAGAATCGAACACGGTTATGATGGCAGAGTCAAGTACAGCATGACTAACCTGTTCAAGGGAAGTCCCGAAATGAGTGAGTATTTTTTAATTTGTTTAAACTTGTTTTTAGTAATGTAGGTTTCATGTTCGTTTCATGTATTCATTTTGGTCTACCAATTAACTAAATTAGATTTCCTGATGTTTTCTCTTCCTACAGAGCTTTTAATTGTTTCCATATAACGTAATCTACTAATATTTATTTTCTATTAAGCAACTATGAGTCATAATTAAATTTAGCCTATTGTCTTATTAAATATAATCATTTTTTAAGGTAAAATTCATTTGAACTCATAAATAAAGACAATCTCTTTTTCCCAGGTAACGCTGTCCTCGACTTCATGAATAACAACTGGAAAATGGTGGCTGAAGAATTTGGTACTCCTATGGTAGAATTCGGCATCCAATCAATAATGAAAAATGTAAAACGACTTTTTGACGCACTACCCATAGATGATCTTGAAAAATTGTAATTAAGTTTTAGTATATAATAATTCTATATAATTTTGTAATACCTGTGACCATAAAATAAGTGAAAATTAAAAAAATATATATCCAAGTACAATATTTTTATTTGAAAATTCGTACATACACTCACACAAATTGCATACACTAAAGTGCGAGAGTAATGCAAATCCAAGCTTAGAAGAAGTTGAATATTTGAATAACAACAATCAAATAAGTGGTCGCAACACTGATAAACTTTAACATCAATGTAATATCAACTGAAAACATGTCGTAAATGTAGATACGTAGAGTCCAAGCTTCGACAAGCTCCATGAATGCTTTAGCCTGCACCCTCATCGTCTTAGGTAGATCATAGTTCATGATCACCTTATTCACAAGAATCTTCGTTTCGTTGCGGACAAGAAGCAGTCGTTCACAGGCAATCGACATGATAGCAACATAGCAAATCCAAAAGAATGAAGATACTATAACATTCATCAGTAAGCTCAAATCACTTATGGCTGATCGGTAGTAGTATAGAGAGGTCCACATGATAATAATGATAAAGGCAAAAGTACTCATGAGGATTGTCAGGATTTGGAAGTTGAACACTTCATTAACCATGGTAGATATTTGCCCAATGACGTCATACATCTTCGCAGCATCTCTTATTTTAGTATTGTTATCAGACGCACGTCCAATAAAATTAAACTTTTCTGTGGTGTCCACATTCCTAGATCGTATAGTAAAGACTGTAGCAGTTTCTTGATCTTGTTCATCGACAAATGTCTTCAAATAGCTATTGATCATTAGCAGTCTGCGTCTTAAGAAGTCCACGTACTTGCAAAAAGTTATTATTTCTAGTTTTTGGATAAAGTTTAAAGGTGTAGCTGCTATTGCCCAAGCAACATCTCCGATAGCAACAAAATCTAGTATGCTGGTAGCCAGTTGGCTGATAATGACAAGAACCATGTACTTATAAGTTTCCCAACGTGACTTGCTATAGAAGTTTTTGGATTTTCCAACTTGCAACATATTATCCAAGTTAGCAAGAGTAGTTATAATGCGGATGTTGTTGGTGTTGACGAGGAAAGAAGCAGTGAAGGTGCAAACTGCGTATTGGATAAAAAGTATGATGATGCGCACCTTATCAGCAGCCTGAACGTAATTTTCACTGTCATAATGCGTGATATCAGTTGGCAGTAAGAAGTAAGTAGTGAATAATACAATAAAAGCTGCTATAATAAAAACAGTGAACGCCTTCATTTTCCAATCTGGTGTACGTAGTTTCTCATTTACTAGAGAGAATCTAAAAATGCCATGAATGTATTCAATGAATATGATTACGTTTATGGATTCCACAATTTGCTTCTCGCTTTCATCTGTTACTTTCTTCTTTTCTCCTGGAGATTTCTTTTTATCTTCTTTTTCTGCTTCCATGGTGATAGTTGCCTCAATTTTTTTAGCTTTTAAAGAACTGAAACGTTTGTTCGTAGTTGAGTATTTGAATGTGACTAATATTATTTTCTTGTTAGGGTCTTATTTATGTTATACTCCATTATTTTAATGAAGTCTTACTTCTACATAAAATATTCATTCTACCTAAACCTCTTATGTTCCATGGCTTACTCTAATATCATTAATGAGTTTGTCTTTTACACGTGGTATATTCATAACGAGGTCTATAATTAAACGTATTTTTTAATGTAAATCGATACCAAGACATATTTATTTTTAATAAATTTTACTTGTTACGATAGACAGAGTTTACGGTAGCCAGTTAATAACTAACCTCATGCACAGAGATGTATATGTATACCAAAAGTTATGTTAGTTTTACACACTGTTATCCAGAAAAAGAACACCACAATTTATGATATTGCATGAACCTGTAATCTAACATGAAATATTGCTTCTATTTTTTCATCTTTCTACTCGTTCTTATCTTTATCACCTCCTAACATCTGCAAGTATTAATTAATCGTCAGGTTAAATTAATTGCCAAAAGCTGTTTTGAACTCCATAGAAAAAATTTGTGGCCCATTACTACTGCTAAAAACTTCTCCTGACCTGACGATTATGTTTTTATAATAACTATCGTGAGACATACCAAATTAAGTAAAAACGCGGGTTACTCACGTGAATATACTGAGAAAAGCTCTACTAGTTTCGAACCACAGAGGGGTTCTTCGGGGGCTCACTCGGTGAGGTGCGCGACGTCGCCGCGACCGCCGACGCTGCTCATGAGGAAGAATCCCTCTGTGGTTCGAAACTAGTAGAGCTTTTCTCAGTATGTTCACGTGAGTAACCCGCGTTTTTACTTAATTCAGTATGTCTCACGATAGTTATTATAAAAACATAATCGTCAGGTCAGGAGAAGTTTTTAGCAGTAGTAATGGGCCACAAATTTTTTCTATGGAGTTCAAAACAGCTTTTGGCAATTAATTATATCATACGTAGCAAGACTAAAAAATAAAAATCTGAAAAATAAATAAGTCATTGTCCGACTTGAGAATCGAACTCCAGTCACATTGCTCTTTTAGGCTTATCTAAAAATATTTTTTTAAAATGGAACTGGCTGTCTATGTTTTTAATGTTACTTTACTAGCTGAATTTATTTAAATAGAGTGGAAATCTGATAAAAATTAATATAACATTAATTTAACGTAAAATATATTTATTGTTATTAAAATTAAAAAAAAAAAACGCATAAATCAATCAAAACTATAAATACGTAAATTCAACAAATCTGAAAATTACGGTGATATTACAAAGTATAGATTTCACAACTTGAGTATTGTGCGAATTATTTTATTAACACACCAATTAAATACATATCAATAACAATTTAAACGAAGTGAGAAATCTGTATAATAACAATTAAGTACGTCGTTGCAACGCTAATAAACTTCAGCATAAGTTTAATATCAATTGAAAACATGTCATAGACGTAAATCCTCAGCGGCCAAGCCTCAACAAGCTCCATGAACGCTTTTGCCTGCACCCTCATCGTCTTCGGCAAGTCATAGTTCATAATTATCTTGTTTACTAGTATCCTAGTCTCATTACGTGAAATAAGGAGTCGTTCACAAGTAAAAGACATAGTGGCAACATTGCAAATAGTGTTAAAACACCAAATTGCATTATTTATCAGTGTGTTTGCGCTATAAGCTGTCGCGCGATAGAAACTTAGCGACGTCCAAATAGTTATAACAATGTAAACGAATGCAGACACGAGAGTCAGAAAGATCTGGAAGTTAAAAACATCGTTCATCATGAAACAAATCTCCCCAATGTTATCGTACGTCGTTGCCAGATCGCGTATTTTCATATTCCTCACTGATGGACGCCCAATATAGTTAAAAGACTTTTCTGTTTTTATTTTCGTATCTTTGACTGTAAAAACTGTGACATTCTTCTTGTCCTGTTCTTGATTAAACTCCTTCAAATAGTTATTGATAACAGCCAACCTCCCGTTTACAACAATTACGTACGCACAGAAAATGAATACTTCGAATCTTTGAACAAAGTATAGTGGGAAAACGGTTATCGCCCAAGCTCTATCTGCGACAGTGATGAGATCCATCAAGCCATTGACTACGTGAGAGATAGTTATAAATATCAAGAATTTACTGATACGAGAACTCATTTTTTTGTAGAAGTCAGTACAGATCTCTAATTGTAACGTCTTGTCTACTTCTGCAAGCAAAGTGATGATGCGGATGTTCATTGAGCTAAAAAAGTTGGTGGTTACTATCAGAGCTGCGTATTGGAAAAGAACGACGAAGGAGGGGATGGAGTCCAGAGTTGTCATGATCTCACTTTGTTCTAATGAATTCGAAGCTTCTGGATCTGGAACAAAGAACATAAACCAAGAAAACACAATGGTATATATAAAGAAAATGAAGATTCCGCAAACTTTCATTTTCCAGTTTGGTGGGCGTAGTTCTCCATCGATGTTTTGAAATCTGTAGATACCGAAGCAGTACTCTATTAAAATTTCTGGTTTAAAATTGTTGAATATCGCTATGATTTTTTTCTTTTCGTTAACGCTGGCGTTTTTCTTCTCTCCATTCGATTCATTGTCTCCTTCTTTTACTTCTTCCATCAGACACGAGAGCTTCAATAAGGTTTTTTAAAAGACGTCCGGTACTTTGTATCTATTTGTTAGCATTGAATTCCAACGCAATATAAAATTGAAAGTAACAATGATTAAATAAGTTTCCATTACGATAATGAAGTGGTCACTCATCATGGTCGTGATCAAATGAATGAGAATAAAATTTATTGACTTTGTGACTTGTTGTCATTTGTGGTTTTTGTTTTGGTGTTTCTAAACTAGATTAGGACAGACAGTCTAGTCTTAACTGAATTGCGGTGTTATTATTTTGAATGGACTGATTATCATTTTCAGATTCGGTTATCGACTAAACTCCTCTGGTGTAGTGAGTATTCATGGGCGGCGCTGATCGCTTACCTTCAGACGAGGAATTTTCTCACATGCTTCCTATCCTATCAAAAAAAGAGTATTCTTTATTAAAGCTAGGAACATCTCTCATCCTACAAAATCCTGCCCTATTTTGATAAATGGGCAGGACGAGCATTTAGTTATTAGTTCCATCAATACAGACTTGTAATTGATAGGTTATATTGGCGACGACGAATATATCACATACAGACCTACGTGTGTCGACTCTTTAAAGGTCATCGCACACCTAAGCGGCGGTCTTACAACTCGCCGTCAGCGCGCGGTCTGCGGTGGCTAGCGGTAGGTCAGCAAATTCGAATCGACGCCATGTCAGAGTCGTGCCTGTTAGGTGTACGATGTTACTACAGTCTCTGTTATAGGTATCACGCATACTATTCCCTTAGATGGAGGGTCCATGTTAGGTGTACATAATAATACCAGTGGCGTGCACAGGTTTTCGAGACAGGGTAGGCAACTAAATATCGTATGATTAAACCCCTCCCCCCCGCCGGTCATACAATCATGCTCACACAAGATAGGTACATGTACATAATATATTTTGAAAAGTGCGTTCAAGAATATTGTGGTGTATTGTTTCGCCAAATTACATACACTGACATCTCGCGTATTTTTTGTGAAGTACTTCATCAGCTATTGAATAAGCCAACAAAACTTACAAATAATGAAAGATCTATTATTTATTTTAATAATGAAGCATAAATTTGATGAACCAAATTTCATTATGGAATTGTTAAGGTTAATCAATCTGGTCAAAATCATAATATATTACGAATTTAAGAGCGTAGGTACCTACATTATGTCAACAAACAAAACAATAACAAGCGCGGCCGGCTGTGGCCGAGCCGGCCGAGTCTATGCGGTACATTTGTTATTACTACATTACATAAATATTAATAATAAATTAATATGTGAATCAGTACAACCCGAAGTCTAAGTTGATATTTTTAAGAATTATCAAACAATAAACAAGAAAATCAAATAAAAGATCCATTATAGTACATATTTACATTACCTACCTTTTACTTGGGTCAATTCTCGTAACTCGAGTACACCTCTGCCTATGGTCATTACCTGAATCTAGTCCGATAAAGGACATTGCGAAATCTTACTGTTTTTACTTTCAACAAACACATAAAATTACCTATTATTCACACACACTTCACAATCGAATAATATAGGTACTTGTACTAGAAACTGAGAAACAAATACACTATTTGAAAAACCTACACATATATTTAACTACTACTACACATTTATGCAACTTTATGTTTAAAACTAATTCCTAATAATTTAAACGAAAACATAAACAAAGCGATCGCACATCACATGAAAACAATATGGCCGAAAACATTGGAAATGAATTGAAGTCATTACCAATAGTCAATTGAGTGTTTATTATAAAAAAAATGTAGCTTAAAAATTAAGGTAACGCAGCGTTTAATTTCAAAAAAACAAACGTTAATTTAGTAAGTCAAATGAAATTGCATCATCGTCTTAAACCAATATTTCATACTAAAAAACATTCATTCATATAATTTGAAACGTTGTAAATGGCGCCATCTTGACGTATCAATAACTTCCTTTTAACTTTTATAATAATAAAGTCAACTCCTCGTTTAAAATTTCTATAAACCGACAACGCGTAAAAATGTTAAACTTTAATTAAAACACTTGAAAAATATTTGTTAAATACGCATTTATAAAAATACATTCGCATTATATCGAACGAGTTCAGAAGTTTCAACAAAAAATTCAATAGATGGCGCTGGTGTACTCCATTCATCAGTACTTTACGATATACATACAAATTTTATCAATTTAAATCCTTTTATGATTTAATTGTTTTTAAAAATACAATAACTTGTTGTTGTTTTATTGTATTTAGAATTCTTAATAAAATACGATCGTTTTCCAAGTGATGAACGAACGGTCCTCTAATTTTTTAGTTGCAAACATTTTGTCAATCAACAGGAATCGCGTAATATAATTATGAATGGTTATTCTGTACCGTGACTATGGTCGTGAACTTCACGCATGCGCGGTGCATACTTTTGGTACATTTCTTTTGTGACGTCACTACTGCCAACCAAGATTTAAGGAATAGTGGCGCATGCGTGGTGCGTGCGGGGCGCATTCATTACTTTACAAAGGCGCGTATTTATGTTAGCCGTTTTTTTACAAACTTTTATTATATTATTGAATTTTAATAAACACGTTTGTACATTATATGTATGTTATATATTCACGATATTTATAGGTAGGCAATGCCTTTTCGCCTATATGGACTGCACGCCACTGAATAATACTATATACAATGACAATTCATGGTGGAAGCACTTGTATTAACTAAATATTTATTCTGTGGTATACCTAAGTCCCATTTCAGGAATAGGATTTCTATTAGTGTTTGGTTTCAAATTATTATAAGCTAATATAGGTTGGAATCATTCTCTGTAGAATATTTTTCTGTTAGAATTTGTATGTCTTTCGATAATTTAATCTTTTATTTTGATATCCAAGTCATTAATTGATCAAAGTTTTTCTTTAAGGTGATTAATTAACCTTTCGAGTGTCTAAACGTCTGGATCCAGGCGAGACACAATGTATTTTTATTGTGTCTCATATACAGGCATTCAAGCGGTTAAAATAAATGAAACAAAACTGATTTAGGAATATAATTTATTTCCATTTTAAAAGTACATTTTATAAGAACAATATTGAATAAGAATCTTGTAGTGCACCGCCGTCCGTGAGTGATACCAGTTGCGGACGCACCAATGCACTACAGAAAATTTAAATCAAATGAAATAATTGAATAATTATTATCAAATATGTCGTCCCAACACTTATAAACTTTAATATCATTGTTATGTCTACAGAAAACAAATCATAAACAAATATCCGTAATGGCCAAGCTTCGAGAAGCTCCATGAACACTTTAGCCTGGATTCTCATGGTCCTTGGTAGATCATAGTTCATTATTATTTTGTTTACAAAAACCTTTGTCTCATTACGCACTCGAAGTAGCGTCTCGCAAACAAAGGCGAATATTGCAGGGTTGATAAATGCGCCAATACACCAAATGGTAAGAGTTACAATATCTTTAACAGAAAACTCAAGAATACGATAAATGTAAAGTGCCGTCCATATCGTAACTATAATGTATGCAAATGCAGTTATTAGAATCATGAAAAGATGAAAGTTGTAAACTTCGTTGATCAGAAAACTAATCTTTCCCATGATGTTATACATTCGTGCCAAGTCTCGGATTTGCATATTGCTCTCTGATGGACGTCCAATAAAATCAATTTTGTCTTCCATTTCCTTCTTCCTATTCTTCATAATAAATATTGTGGTCTGTCTGATATCTTGTTCGAAAACAAACGTTTTTAAACATTTGTTAATAACCTCCAGTCTACAAGTTATCATATTGATATGATTTGAAAATGACAAGACTACTAACTTTTGAAATAAATATATGTGGAATATTATGACTGCCCATGCATAGTTAGTTTCGCTGAAAATGTCTAACAAGAAATTTAAAAAATTATAGATGAAAAGTATGCATAAGTATAAATAAGTTCGACCGCGCGATTTTTTATAAAACACATCGAGAGTTTCTCTTTGCAGCTTCTGGTCTAATTCTGTAAATAAAGTGTACATACGAATGTACGGCACCGAGTAGACGGGGAAACCAGCCAAAACTGATGTGGTCACATATTGGCTAAGCACCACTAAGGCGGAAACCTCCTGCAAACCTCTCATCTGGTTTATCAGGTTCAGATCGTAATAGGTTTTCAAGAACAGTGAACCGTATGTTCCCATGTACAAAATTGCAAACATTTTCATTTTCCAGCTTGGCGGCAGCAACTGCCCGTTCACTAGACGACACTTATATATTCCGAAGAAATATTCTGTTATTATAATGGGTTTCAATGTGTGCATAACTTTTTCTACTCCATTTTCTTCAATACTGTTTTCTGTCTCCTCGATGTTTGTTTTATTTGATTGCCTTTTTGCGTTTGTCATATTACAAATTGTCTGAATAAATACAAGGATACACTTTGAGACGTCTACTTCAATATGTATGACTGTGAGAAATGAAGAGTAATATCACTTATTAAGTTATTAAACATGAAACTGTTTGATAAACTATTAAAGTTATTGCCTTTTCCATATCGACCTTTAACCATTTGCTAGGCTGACTGAAAACATCAATGCGGTTTTTTTTTAAGGGGGGAAAATCATCGAATGACTGCTCCCGCCTGGGTGAGGCGGAAGGGAGTGTCAGACTCTTACTGACTAAAAACCACCCCGTTCCTTCTCCTGCACGTCGGGTTTAGTAGAATTATTTTGATATTATTGACAGCTCATATGCAATATCAGAAAGCCAAAATAAAAACGTGTCCTTAATCTTAATTTGAAGTGAAAGAACCGTTTTTGTTTTTTTGTAATGTAGAAGATATAACGCTTCATCTATGTTAGGTGAGATGAACTCAGTGAACTCAGTCAGAAACATGGTTGCTTGCTTTCAACTATTTTGTACCTACTAATTTGCTACATTAAGAAATATGTGCTTATAAAACAAATGTTACGCATGCTATATAGTTGCTATAGAAACAGATAAAATTACTGAATACATTTCTCATCGTTTGTAGTTCATTGAAATATTTAATCTACATAAATAAAATATTGGTTTAACAGTTTTCGAGGACAAGAAAATTAATTACACAATTTTGAATACGTATACACCGGAGTATATAAGTATTATGTAGTAACTTTATACAAAAATACTGTCAATATTCTTCTTCTTCTTATGGTGCCACTTCATTCCTGAAGGTTGGCCGTCAACTTTTTGAATTGATCCTTGTCATTGGCCAGACGGAAAAGTATAAAATATTAGATAATTTATTCTGGGGCAATAAAACCTAATCGATCTTCACCATTTATTAAAAAAGCAATTATTGCTAAATCCCACAGTTAATGTGCAGTAATAACAGTAGGTGAAGACCTATATTTTTTTAGAATTGCCCTTGATTTAAACGAAATGAGAAATTTGTATAATGACAATCAAATATGTAGTGGCAACGCTAATGAACTTTAACATCAAAGTTATGTCGACTGAAAAGAGGTCGTAAATGTAAATACGTAACGACCAAGCTTCAACTAGCTCCATGAACGCTTTAGCCTGCACCCTCATGGAGTTCGGGAGATCATAGTTCATTATAATCTTGTTTACTAGTACTCTAGTCTCATTTCGTACTAGAAGCAATTGTTCACAAGCCAATGACATAACACCAACAGTATAGATTGCGCTGAAACACCAAATAGCAGTGTTAATCAGTTCTCCTGAATTACTTGCAGGCGTCCGATAGTAGTACAATGAAGACCATATCGTTATTACTACATAAGTAAATGTTGATACAAGGGTCATAAATATCTGGAAGTTAAACACTTCATTAATCACTGAACAAATCCTTCCAATCACATCGTACATCGATGCTAGATCCCGTATTTTGGTATTGCCATCTACGGCTCGACCAATAAACTTGATTTCAACATTCTCTTTGGGATCAGGATTACTTTTCGATACACTAAATATTGTCTTATTATTCTTCTTTTTCTCTTGCTCTTGAACAAATACTTTCAAATGGTCATTTATCAATACCAATCTGCGTTTCACCATAGCAATGTACTTGCAAAAAGCCACTATTTCCAGTTTTTGTATGAAGTATAAAGGAAGAACGATCAATGCATGTACTGTAACGTCTTCTGCGGTCACTAATTCTATTATGATATTGATTAAATGAGATAAAACTAGAAAGAATAGAAATCCATAGGTTTCCATACGGGATCTTTTGTAGTAGTCACTGATTGATTCTGCTTCCAACACTGCGTCTATTTTGGCAAGTTTATTGAAAATGCCGATGTTGGCTGAGTTGACTAGGAAAGAAGCCGTTATTGTGGATGTAGTGTACTGGACGAGGACTACGAACACGGGAATTTCTTCCATCACGACAACGGATTTAGCTGTGCCAGACATGAGGGTCTTGAAGTCAATAGAAGCGAGGATTGTGATGAGGAAGCTAATAATAGTTAAAACACTATAAGTTTTCATTTTCCGATTACATAGGCGAAGCTCTCCAGAAGTGAAGTAAAATCTGTATATTCCATATAGGTATTCGATGAATAATAACGGTTTTATTGAGTAGATCACATTGCACAACGCTTTCTTGTACACTCGCGGGTTCTCTAACTTTGAATCGATGAATTTTTGTTTAGCCATTTCGCTTAAGGGAACCGGGAAGGTCGTCCGTTTTTGTATACCTATGCCAAAGCTGATATTGTACTAAAGTTTTTGCCAGCACTAAGTTACATCGTTTAATGAAATAAAAAATCCATTAGTATAATTAAGAGTTTGATGGAACTTTCGATGAATGAATTAATACAATTTGTTACCACTGTTTTACTATGAAGTACCCATACCTACCTATCACCTTATCAAATTAAAAATAAATGTAAGTTGATTCAATAATAACACCTATATTTGTGTTTGCAATTAGGCGGAGTACCTATATTTTCGTATATAATAACATATTTGTAGATATGGTATAAGTATAGGTACTTACTAAAATTATGTTTCGATGATTGATGGGTAAATACGTCGATATCTATCAGCTTATTGCTGTCAGAATAGGTATCCAAGTAGACTGATGTTTTCATAATGACACAATGCCTAGGTTTCTGTGAATTTACATAGGTTATTTATTTAGGTACTTCCTACCTACTAAAGTGGATTTGTTGGAACAAGTAGGTAGGTACTTAGGTAACTACGGTACTTTCTTGTTCCTAAAACAACACGCAAATACGTTTTGAGATTTAAATAATTAGAAATACATATACTATGCACTTATTACTTAGTTTAAGATAGTGCGACAAAATAACCTCTTAATTTTACCTATTTATTTTTATATCGTACGACTTTTTATAAGTACATAAATTATATCTTTGAGGCTGTTTATAAGCCATCAGGGCCATCTATAATCTTTTTGCTATTATTAATAACGGTAATTGTAGATGGCGTTATCATTGTAGTTCTGCTATTGAATACCAGATGTCGCTAAATGTTACAAAAAAGTTAAATTACATTAGTCGTTGAATGTGGAAAATAAAAAAGATTTATTTCAAAATTTGGCAGAAATAGAACAGATAAATAATATAATTGCTTTTTTTTTAAATTTTGTAAGAAATTTGTAACAATCCAAATGAAGTCGGTAATAAGCTTTTACGTTCGCATGCACAACACATTCTTTTATAATGTTACGAAATGACTAATAATTAAATACACAGTACTGTACTTTCGCTGTATAATTTTTAAAAATATTACCAGGGCCAATATTTATTTCGTGCGGGAATTGAACTCGCGGCACGTTTTGTTGCAGTTTGCAATGCAATGAGTCGGTGAGACTGAGGCACTGTTGGTCCAACATTTTAACTAAGTATTAGATTAACTATATTAGTCTGTTGTTTGAGTTAAGGAGATTTTTTTGAAATATAGTTATCAATTTATAAGCAATTACTTATTTGGACTTTTGGAAAAAAAACAATACTTTAAACGAGAATGGGAATTACTTACTTTCAATACAATAAAGCATGAACCAATAAGCTTTGATTAATGAATTACTTAATTATTATAATAAATTCAGTTTACATAATATACAATAACTTATTGACTTAGTTTAATTAAGCCGCTTTAATTAAAAGTTCTAAAGTCAACAAACCGTTTTGTTGGTAAAGCAGATTAAATTACGGACGACGAAATTCATTATCACATATGAGTTTTATCCATCCCCTTGGAAAATTACTCATTACCAGGAATGGATGGACAGATTAGGTCTACTTGTAAAATCCCATTTTTTTCTACGTGGGCAATCAATTTATTTTTTAAACATCTTTTCTGCATGTTCTATTCTTTTTTCAAATGTTTAAAACACATAAGTGGTTAAGTTGGCATGTTCGAACTGTCAGAGGTCCCAGCTGTATGTTGCGGACCTGCGCTCGCTGTATCGACCGCGCCAACATCTAGGGATGGGTTGGTATCGATAAACCGTTATTAGGGACAACGGTTTGTTACTTTTTTTGTTCCTTACATAGGCAAATATGATGTTTGACGATTTTTTGTTGGAGTTAAGTTTAACTTACTGTTGTAATAGTGTAGGTGTAAGATAATCTTCTCGTTGGATTAGGACAATTATTATAATTATCTTACGGAAGAAACACACTAAAAAAAATAAACATAGATAATTGCATTATATTTTTTCTGAACTTTCTGCTTAGTTAGATCGATATCGAGTTATAAAAGTATTCAAGATCTGTCAATATGTACTGACCCAAGTTTTGGTATAGCATTTAGGTACGTAGGTACCTACATAAAGTATACAAACTTCGTATCTACAGTAAATGTAGGTCATTGTAGGTAACTCCTTTACTATCTACAAGCACCAACTCAAATGCCGTGACAGCGAAACATTTTCACTAACTTTTTTCTAATGTCGATAGTTTTCCCCGCCATACGTGTGAATTGTGAGGAGCCAAGGCGGCGCGGCAGTGGACGCGCGACAGACGCGCGGGCTGCTCTACGCGGCCCCGCTTCGGCCCACACCACACGCCCAGAAACCGTCACCATGGGCCAAACAGCCGGCGCCGAATGCACGCCTGAAGACGAAGACTCAGAGCCACGCATTCGTGTCAATCCCACGGAAAAATCACTGGTAAGTCCTACCCAGAAAACTTTCTTTTTCCACACACAAAATGAGCCGCATTCACGCATTAGAAAACTTTTAAGCAGACGTTCAATGTTAATGAGGCTTTTAACTTTAAAACTGAACTAATTGCTGAAATTATTTAACATTCATGTGTTCATAAAATCATTTACGTAATAGGCACATTAGTCAGGGTACACATTCTGTAGCTTTTATAGGTGTACGTACTTAGGTTCTTGAAATTTCAACGAGTAAGCTAACTTTTTAATTGGTATAGGTTTTACTTTCGCTTCTAGAGCAGTAGGTCTAGGTATAGTTATTTAAATATTACTTACTCGTATTATTTTAGTTACAATCTTCTTGTTAGGTAACTGTACTTAGGTCCTAAGTTTTATTCATCAGAAAATCGTTACTTAAGTAGTCCGCAGCTGTTTTATTTTCTTCTTTCTGCAGATACCTATAGAAAATCAATAAGAATGACACGTGTGGTGTAGACACGTTTATTATGTAGGTATAGGTTCGACGTTGTTTTATTTCGCACACAAAACGATAAAAAAAATAAAAACCTTCGGAAACAAAGGCCGAATGGATTGAAAAATTTCGACCAAAATTGAACCGGTTCAATTAAAAACACGAGTACCTACGTAGGGACCTATATCACGCTCTTGATGGCTTTAAAATTTTAAAGCAGTTTATTGACATTTACTGTCTAGTATTTTTCGCTAATTTAATTTTTATGTGCCTAGGACAGGCCGAAAGGTCGAAAGGTGAAGGGTTTAAGTTTCTAATTCAGAAGGTCTCGGGGCATTGAAAAGGACTTAAGGAGGTCTTTTCAGGATAAAAATAGTGAACAAAGAATTGTAGGTGACAAGAAAATGCTATGGATACGTAGGTATATCATTTACTAACTTGTTACGTGCCTAACCGTGTAGTTGGGTTCCTTACCTAAGAGATACCTAAGTTATGTATACCATGGCCTATTATATAGTTAACTGTAAAGATTAAAGATATCTATCATTATTTGGAAGCTAACCATATTTATACAATCTAACCAATGGTTCTATACCTCGACAACAAGGAAATAAAACCAAGTAGGATTTTACGACCTACGCTTAAAAGGGAGCAATCGAAAATTGCCCTTCGTCATGAATCCGTATAATTCAATGAGAGCCCGGATTATAAATAGAATATCCTGCTTACGCTAAACCTCGGGTTATCTTTAGAGTTTAGGTAGACTTCTGGGTATTATTCATTATTTTAATAAGAATTCTTTAAGCGATAAACAAATGTTAGACCATAGAATTTTTCAAATAGGTAATGATTATTTATTTATTATTCCTTTATTTCAGGCCATGGTACATATCAAAAACCAGCCACAAATGCAGTAAAAAGAATATTATTAATACATTAAATAACCTAATACATACAGTATAACATAAAAATATAATAATTTTTGTACACGAAAAAGATTGACCGAATGAAAACTGAAAGTAATTCTGTGTTGATTGCTATTAATAAATCTGCCATTAAATCTATGGTCAACAATAAACTGTTGACGGAATTTTTAATGTGCTTAACGAGGTATTTAATCACCAAGTATAATGAATGTGGAAATATTATAAACGACATGCGCTCGAAAACAATTTTCGCGCCGTACATACGCACTTCGCGCGTTTTTGTTTGACGTTTAGCAGTTGTCGGCCTGGCGGCAGGAAGAACGGTCTGACCGCGTGCGTACTGTGAAACGAAACGTCACAGACTCGTAAGCACATCTGTCAAATTGAATTTATTTAATTTTCCAATGTTTTTGTAATGAATTAAAAAGGTTATCTCTATTTGTAAAATTCGAAGCATAATTAATTTCGAACAGTGTATATATTAGAACAGTATATAAAACAATAAACTGTTAAATATGGGATTGTGCAACTCGTTTTTGTGCTGTCAAAATTAAACTTTTGTTATTGTAAAGTAAGGTGTTAATATTCATCTGTTTTCCCTTGAACTTGGTGTAATTTCAAACCAGCCAGTGCCAGCTGGAAAGTGACTAAACGTTCTATTTTCTGTTGTTGTGCGAGAAGTAAGAAAATAACTGAAGAAATATGTCGAAGGTCTCCCTGAATAATGTGCCATCGAATCCTCGTATCAATCGTTTGAGAACATTTTCTAGGGTGAGTATTCAACATAATAAATACTGTTAATTCTCTTTACATGAAAACAGACCAGAGATTGAGCTAATATTAGAATAATTTTGAGGTTACGTACGTAAAGCTATAAGAGTTTTCGTGTTAGGGTTATCTAAACCGTGACATCAAAACAGACGTTTTTATCTCAAGTAAATTACATTTATTTTCCATGTTTTTATCTTGGATATTATTTTCCAAAACATCTTTATACTCAACTAGCCATCTGTCAAAGTCTTAATCAAAATTATTTTTGTCTCTGAATTCTATTTGTGAATATTTTAAGCTTATATCTTATATTTTTTTTTGTACCAGTAAAAAGTATCAATACTCACTGACCCTAGTAACTACAATGGTGCCAGTATTCGATTTTAAAACTAAGTCAAGTTTTATATTTAGTGTAAGAAATAATCACTATTGTTTAGTTTTCATTGATGTTAAATACTCTACACTACTTATTTATATCATTGTTTACTTTACACACATAACCATTAAAAACCCTTTAAGAATCATATTCTAAATATTATATTTACATATATTTAGTAATTGATAATTAGATAGCACTCCATTAAATTACAAAGAAGTCATTTGGGGATGTTACTAACGACTTTATTATCACTTTTATATAAATATGTATATTGAAATTGAAATAAGTCAGTATTTCTTTAACTGTTGCTTAGTACACATCTTGTTTGTATTCTTCATCAATAATATAGAGCAGTGCTTGTGAGTGGTTAAGTGGTATAAATAATGATGGTCAAGGTTAGTTTAGCATACTAAAATAATTCTTATATTTTGGCTGTACCCTCTATTTAAACTGTCAAATACCAAGCGGTCACCGGTGACCGCAACCTATTGTTCTATAATTGTGTCTACAAAACCGGTACTCGACGAGTTAAACTGTCAAACACCAAGCGGTCACCGGTGACCGCAACCTATTGTTCTATAATTGTGTCTACAAAACCGGTACTTGACGAGTACTTGGTAATTTTAACAATAACAAATAATGCATTTTTATGCGAGTCTATTGTTTTGTGAAAAGTGCGTTATTTTACTACCTATATATTTTATATCTCAGCTTATCTATTTAAAAATATTTTTGTGTTTGTGCCACTTGTTAATGTTTCTGATGAATAAACTACAATTTAACATTAAAAAATACAAATAATATACGCCTCTGTAGTTACGTCTACTCGTGTCATGTTGTATGTGATATCGATCATATCCACTTTGTTCTAAAGACATTAACCACGCAACACTTCATATCATGATCAGGTCTAATCAACATAACTGCATTCTGCAATGGAACTGATAATAGTATAGGTATTATGCTAATGGCCTTTTCATTTGTAAATCAGACTTGTGTTGCACGCGTTCTGTTAATTCGTTAGAGTGAGTTCTTAAACATGGAAATGGTTGTAGTACTACCTCCGCCACCAACACTCGAAAAGGTATTTCATATGGTTTAACCTGTTGAAATTCATCCCCTAAATTTGTTCATACAAAAGTAGTCTTTAAACGTTGGAAATAAGGTCTATAATGTAGTTAGTGGAGTGCGGTCACCGGTGACTGCTTGGGGATATATGGGTTAAGGTCATAAACTATGAAAAATGATTTATTTAAAGTCATTATAATTTATAATCAGTGTATAACAACTTTTCCTATATTAAAATCTTTTGTTTTTGTTGAATAAGTAAGACAGTTAATTTATTGAACACATTTACTTATGAATAAAATGAATAAATGAATAATATATTTTATTATCAATAAAAAAAATAAGAAAATTGAATGTAGGTAATAAAAATAGAGTTAATTTCTGGTGAAGTAGGTATAGAATTGAATCTTCCAATATAGGAGCACTTCTTATGAAAATGATGAGTGATAAGGCATGAATAAGATGAATAAGTGTCGTTAAATTGAAAGGAACGGAGTACATCTGAAGTAAATGAAATAAAAGGAGTGGAAATATTCCTTTGACTCTATTATTATTATAGCTTCCTGCAATTCTCTATTGCTATGCTACATATAATTATTTCATTTCCTTAGATTATTATTTTTTATTAGTTCCATGATAAAGGAGTAGGAAAAATTAAAACATTTAAATCTATTCACTCAGTTACAGCTTAACTTATAAATAAAACGAAATTTCTTTTTATCATATTTTAATCTTAAAAAAAAAGTTTTACTCTAATTTATGAATATAATATCTAACTAGTTCTTTCTAAATTATGCCGAATTGCCCACAGATTAAAATTTAATAGCAGAAACATGCAATGAAACAATTTATGGTAGTATAATGTATAGATAGATGTCCATAGATAGTGATGAGTGCATTTATTGATACTGATACATAAACTAGTTTCCATATAACATACCTTGCAATCATCAATTTCATGTTAATACTTAGATGTGATGTGATGTGATGGATGTATCCATTTTCACATTTCAATCAATATCCATTAGTGTACTCACTCAAATGGATTCTTTAAATCAAAATAACCATATAGAGCAACTGTTAGAATGAATTGTTTTAGTTCAATTAAAACTTCACAAATAAACACAAAAGAGAAAATCCAAAAGATAAAAATGATGAAAAAAATCTTATGATTTTTATAGTCATATTTTGCACCAACTAGGTGCCAGAGACACTGGCTGGATATAGGTAGGCACCTATGGATACCAAAAGTACGTGAACTAGCGTAAAAATATATTGTTAAGGGACATTGTACCCCATAGCATTCAACGGTTACATCGATGTCTTCTGATGATTTCAGTGGGAAAACACATAGTGATGTTAATGAGTCAGATGGAGTACTCGGCTCGACATTCCATCCTTCCTGTGAGTGTCCCCGAAACTCTATTAACTCCATTATTTTGTTTGACGCGGTTTACTCTGACCGGTGTCGTAATAATCAGCTCTAGTGGCATGCGGGTGCCGGCAATTGGCACAAACTGTTATGCGGTCACCGTTTTATCAATGACTGAGTAATAGTCCGGCGCTAGTTGCCAATTTTCGGTATTTCGAATTGTGTAGTAAAAATATTCTTAGATGTTTCCCTTTACTTATAAATAGAAGGAATTTACTGTTGCGGTTTATTGTAGGGATTCTAGACAGTCATGTTCCGAGTTATACGGATTTATGATTATCCGGTTCGCTGGTTTTGTTTTAAAATTGGGGTCTCACGTTTTAGACTTAACTACCTAAAAGTATAGAAAAAAAATCGCAGCTTTTTCAAAGAATCATATGTGAAATATTTTCAGTTGTTCTTAAGAATAAAACCGTGTGTACAAATGAGAATTGCGTCGTAAATTGCTTCCAGTGAATATTCGCATATAGCCACGCAAATGAGATTTTGTCTTGAATCGGCATTTGTGGCGCGCACAAATTTTGTACGAGGTATTTGCTGCGAAAATATTTTTCTGAATTCGGAATTCAGAAAGCACTACGTGTATCAACGTTGTGTTGGCAAATATGAACGTGGGTTATGTCTCTGAAATTTTACTCTTAGAAACCTTAATGTAGTCTACGTTCCCTCGGATTAGAGACTCAGACTTTGCTTTATTCGGGCTCTTAATTTACTGTCTAGACAGGTCTTTATGCGGAGTGTCTTTCTATGATAATAATTTGCTTGAAAAAAACTACCTATCTAAAGTAGCAGTCATTTGCTGACAAGCAAACACTGGGAATATATTTTCTGGTAAGCAATTAACAAGTCCAAACAGTAGTCATATAGTACAGCAATCTGCAGTCTATGCAATACTAATAATCATTGATATTGTAGAAGTATCAAGTGGCCATAGGTGATTTCGTAAAAATATTTCTTATCACAAACAAAACAAGTGCTCGGGCATCTTATCTTAATTATCAAGGATAATACAATACGCAAAGAAAGATAAACTTGTTTGCGAGAAAGTACAATAAAAACGTGTACTTAAGTCCCTATCATTCTTGTATAATGCTTTATTTTAATTCATATAATACGTAATAATGTGTTACTGTTTGCACTTAAAAATAATTTCAGAATATTTTATTACGTAGAGACTTCGCTGCAGATAAAAAATGTAATCGTTAGTCATCCATGACAAACACAGAATATAAAATTTAAAAATTATGGTTATTGTCGCCAACACACTTTATATGGCAAGGATGATACATAACAAAACAAGTCTTACGAAACAACCAATGTGCATAGCAGACCTGATTGCAAGTTTTCTCTTAAAAAAATGGTGTAGGTTCTCTAAACGGTCAAAATTATTTAAGAGATTTTAAATTTTATCGCAAGCCCGTAAGATTGAAAATCCATGCCCATACTTTATTGCATCCATAAAATAAATATACATTGTCTACTGAGTAACCACCAGTATTTATGAGTTCCGTAAAAGTATCCTATAAATGACTATCAAAACACGCTCGTGTCTTTGACAATGACAGTCCCACAAGGCTATAGGAAAACCTTCGTGAAGACTGAGGACTGTTCAAGGTTCTATACATCGATCACAAGGCAAACTAGACTCTATCGCTATCGAAGAAAGATTTATAGTTAAGCTCTTCACAGTTACCCAACAAAGTTCATGGAGATTCCTCATAGGGATAAGTAACATAGCTACGTTGTATATTATATTAAAATGAGAATAATCGATAGCAACGTCCGTGTTTTATTTATTTATTTATTTATTCCACTTACATTTACATAATTTCCGATTAGAATAAAAATAGACTAGGTACTTTTAATCGATTAGGTTAAAGACAGAATAGTTTTAACTAACAATGAACTATTAAGTAATTCACTGTTATAAAAATAAAGTAATTAAAATACGTGTCATAGTACTTAATACTTATACAATCGTGACGGAATCAGTATCATGGGATTTACCAATTTTCATTATTTCATTAGTACCTATAGTAATAAATATTATTCTGTTGTAGAATGACAATATTTATTGTTCCATTCCAAGAATAGCACATTACATTAGGTAAAACGATGATT